GATTTATTTATTTTTATTATAATAAATTATTAAAAGAAATAAATAAATTAAAATAAATTGATAAAAGAAATAAATTAATTAAAATAAATTATTAAAAAAAGAAAATTAAAAAATAAAAGAAAAATAAATTATTAAGATTAAATAAATTAAAATAAATGATTAAAAAAAGGAAATTAAAAAAAGAAATAAATTATTAAAAAAAAAATAACAAAAAAATTTTTAAATAAATTATTAAAAAATAAAATAAAAAAAAAAGAATATTAAATTATTAAAATAAAAAAACAAAAATAAAAAAAAAATCCTTTCCTCAAAAAACGTAATATATTTTCAAATTATAAGAAAATGATTTATTTATTTTAATACTTTTTATTTTTATTTTAAATTTATTTAAATTTATTTTCCTTTTTTTTATAATTTTAATTTTTTAATAATTTTATTTTTTATAATTTATTATAATAAAAATATTTATATATTTATTATAATAAATAAATCATTTCCTCAAAAAACGTAATATATTTTCAACTACCGATATTTATACCGATGCCAATGGCCACTCGATGGCATCTCAATAGCGTGTCAGTGGTATGACACTGGCTTGGCGTGATCATAAAATAGCAGAATTGAGGCCCTGGTCTCATGCAGGTTCTTTCTATTCGAGCAGTGTTGAGTTGTGAACCCCACTAGCAATATAATGTTTATTTTAATTGTTTGTATTCGTTTTTCCTATTTATTTGACTCTAGATATGGTGACCATATACTAAATTAAAAATCTAATAGCTTATTTTAAAAAATAAATAAAATTTAAAAGATAATGAAGCCAAAAACAAGTGTTATATGAAATTGGTACAATGCTGTTGAAGAAAATACGGCGAAAAGTAAAATTTGTAAGATATTTAACTTTGAAAAAGAGTAACTCCAACTATAGTGTACCTGAATCATAATAATTCGTAATTAGCTGTATTCTTTTTTCCTTAATATCATTTCATTTCTAAGAGGTGGGATATTTTATTTTAAATTTAATAGCCAGCCTTGGGTACAACCAATTCATTTCCAAAAGAATGATTAAAATTGGTTTACCAATGCGCGTATGCCTAACCGAAAAAGCAAATTGCACACGAAAAGTTGTTGTATTGAAAATCTCTTCCTTAAATGTTGTTGTTTGGTTGAAACTTAAGTATGTGACTCAAAAAAGATGAGGTACGTTAAATTCGTTTAAAGATAATTTAGCATTATGTAGGAAACTGAAAAAAAACATGCTTCATTTTAAACCATATTTTATGAGTATGAAAAAAAAACTCTCAAAGACGCAATAATTTAAAAAAACCTTTATTTGGTCAGCCTATGGAAATTTCATTATTTCTAGATTTACGCTTAATAATATTTTAATCTCTTTATCTAATATACTTGTACTGTAGCTGTATGCTCCCCAAATATAATAAAATAAAACTAAATCCAGTTCCGATTCCTATTGCTATTATAAAATACTTGAACTTCAATCATACTTTTTTTTTAAATAGTAAAAAATGAAAGCGTTTAAATATTATTACGCACAATATACTAGATAATTAAATCAGAATGTTAATTAAGCTTTTTCGTAGTACAAGAAAATTGGACTCACTTCTATATTTTTAATTAGGAATGTTGTTTTTTCAATATCAAGTTCATTAAAACATAATTACGTAGCATTGAGGGGAACTTCTTCAAGGGCTAATCACGCGATCTTGATCACTACGATTTGAACTTATTGTCTACTACCACTGTCAACCCGAGTTTACGTGTGTTTTGTATTGGATAAAATGTATCCCTTTGTCAGAGCAAAGAAAGAAGACATTATGACGGAACGAATACTTTCTGGCTGAAAAATATATCTTGGGGTTGGTTGTAACTCTTACATTTTTCAAGGAACTTCAAGGAACAAAAAACAGAAACAAAACATAAGATAAATTAAGTTTATACTTGAATGTCCTTCTTGCCTAACGTCGCCGCGTCGTCTCAAAAAAAGCTTTTTATGAAATAATAAATGTACAAAATATAATACAGCGCCATCTATAACATAGCTTAAAAATCTTTATCAAACTTATGCAATCAGAACATAAGATGTTATAAATAATCAACATTAGATGGCGTTGTAATAAAGGCAACTACTCTACATTTATAATCATATTTCAAGAACGAACGTTAACGTAAAAATCACTTCATCATCAATATTTTAAAGAGGCACTACCTTTGCGCTACCTTTGTTTCTTGTCATTTGCCACTTTATTAAAACTTATATCCATCAGGGCCAAAACAACAAACCATAAAGTATACAAAATTATCTCATTTTAAAATGTGTTATTTTTTTTTATTATGTCATTGCACGTTATTTCCTTTATAGCATTTGTGTAAGTCTTACACGAATGAAAATAATTCCATTATGTATTTAACATTTTCGATTATGAACATTAAACACAGTATCTATATAATTAGCAAGGGGTATCCCTTGACATGAAAAAAAATATAGTTTCCATTTATATCCAAACTATGCTTATATAAGATATTTTTGCATCTGCTTCTTGCTTTAAATATTAAATAAGTGGAACTGAAATAGACTTTTTGAATCTAACACTGTAGATACCTTGGTATTTCTATACAAATAAATAAAACTGAAGGGTCTGTTTGTTATGTCAAAATTATGGGTTTATACATGCTCACACGGTTATTTGCACGATTCCTATGCCTAAAAACCATAGTAATGTTTTTTGTTTGTCTGTCTCTTGGTTCCGGGCGATCTTCTAAACGGCTGGACCGATTTTAATAATATTTTACTACCTGTAGCTATGTATTTTATTTACTGGTAGCTGTCTATATAAGGAGTAACTTACGCTATTTTTTCTCTCCGAAAACCCTTTAAAATTATGCCCGGCCTGGTAATTGAACCCACTAAGGCAGCGCTTTTCAAATTCCACGCGAACGAAGTCACGAGTACCTGCTAGTAATATAATAATCTGCAGCTTTTGGCTTAAAAGATACAAGCATAATATTATGTAATGCAAATTGGGCCTCCAAATTAGCATACTGGAGTACAACATATCCAAACTCGAATATTCGTTTACAAGCATATAATATATAACGAACGTAACGAAGTAAACGAACCAGCAGCCAATTAGAGGCAGCTGTATAATGTGTAAATCGCAAGTTTTTCTCACGGGTGTACAGCTATTATATTTATTGGACCATACGATTTCTATTTCCGCTCTCATTTTGGATCTTACGGTTTTTTGTCGTTTGTCAATATAATATGTTTGAATATGCTTTGCATAGACCCAGTTATGATGTAAGACTACATACACGATCGTGTATTTAGAGTAAATACCTCCGATTTCATTCAAAAAACCTAATTGAAAGTCAAAATGAAATTGAATGGTTAATCCACACGTCAAAAATATATTCGGAATTAATAAAACTTATATGCTGAAAATTCTATCTACGTTCATGATAAATAGAAGTGTGACAAGTTCAGTTACAGGAAATTAAGAACTTTTAACAAAATGCTTATAATATAAACTAATTCTGTCCAACACACTGATATCAACATAAGAGGACGATTAAGAGAAATTGAATCTGTGAGATAAGACATAAGAACATAAGAGTCCGTGATGACAGAAAGTTTAGTAGGACCCTGTTTTTTTTTAAAGATTATAGAACGGCTAGAAAAGCAAAATTGATTTTTATAAATAGATGATGATGTTAAGTAGAAGAGTTCATCAAACATTATGTAAAAGCTTTTTTTTTAAAATTCGATAACCCAAAACTTAACGGTTAAGGGGGGCAGGGTGATAAGACGGACTCATGCCGACTGAAACCACTCTCTGTGGCAGGACGGGGTGTTACTGTGCGATCTCATGTGTATTCTTAAATAGTCCCTGTCTTTGTGGTCCTATAGACGATCCTACACACATACTATTGATATTGGTTTGTTGTGACTAAGCTTATTAATAAAGGTTTGCGGTTTTAGAGCGTAGGTATTTCAAGGATCTCTGAAAAGTTTCAGACCCGATAGTAGCCCTTTTATCAAGGGCTCAAACATCCCTACGCGAAGGTCTCAGGCGCCTTACGTCACACTTTAATTCACTATTGTTATAACTATGTAATACACATCTTAGTTAAACAAAAAATAACTTGCTAACTAAAAAAGGTTTCGCATTCATTATTGCTCAGTAGTATCTCAGTTTTCAAGGAAGTCTGAAGTGTGAAATGGTTCAAATTATCTTCAAGCTAGAGGAGAACGGTGATGGTGATGTAATATTTTACTTTATATTTTTTATTTAATCCTGATTTCCTATTCTTAATGTCAATTTATCACTTAAAATAAAAAGACTTCAAAAAGGAGGAGGTTTTCAATTCGATTGGTATTTTTTTTTATGTATGTACACCGATTACTCTGAGATTTATGATCCGATTTACGTGATTCTTCTTTAGTTTTTTGTTTATAAAGTGTCAGTACTTAAATATAGATGCACGGTAAAAAGTTTCCATTGAAGTATTTTTGTAAAACAAGTAATTGATCTTATGTTCACTTTGTTTCGACTTTAGCTCTGATCACTTGAACGTATTTACTTTTCTACTTTAATTTATTTTACCTACAACGCATCGTTAAAATGAAATAAAACACTGAAACTCATTAGTCCTCTTCTATTATTAGTATTGACATATATAAATTTTGTTTTTATTATAAAACTAATAAAACCAAAATCTCTGTTCAAATATCCTCAAGCTTAATATAATCTTTTGTCATTATTGTCAGTCAATTTCTTCACTGGTTTGATTCACTAATGTAACGATTAAATACGATAATCACAATCTAGTAAAACGCGTGTTGAAATAGTGGCGCTTATCAATTAATCATTGTTTAACTGATAATTTACAGGCAGTCAGTTGATCGATTGCAAACAATAACGCATGTTGTGTTTTTTTATATATTTTTGTAATGACTGTGTCATGTTGTTAATAATTTAAGAATGGTAAGTGTAAGATATACTTTCCGTAATATTTTTTTAACATTTTTATTTTCTTTAAGATAATAATAAAACGTACCTATCTCATTTGTTTTCTAACCTATGAAATCAAAGATTATATTTTATTTTTCATTGGTTATCTAATAGTACCTACATATTGTCATTTAACTGTTATCGATTACCTATTTCTATATTACAAATAAAATGTATGTAACGCAGCAGGTATATTGTTGTTCAATACGTTTAATATCTAGAAAATTATATTTACTAATTACTAGACGGCCTCATTCAACTATTCCGCTGTAAATTTGTAAGATTTTGCTAAATTCTTAATTAAATACAATGTATTATGCCTTCAGTGATTATTGTGGTAATATCCATTGTTTAAATTTAAGTGAATGACTTATAGTAATATTATATCTCGTTTGCTCTTTTAATAGTTAGTGGAAAATTAATATTTACGTCACTGTCATGCCGGTCGCTTCGATCACAGAACGGACACAGGCACGCGACCCCGTCCTATTTGGGCTACTGTAGTCTCAGTTCCGAGATTTGCGGTATTCCATTAACTTCCTCGCTCCATCTGTTTTCCTTATCCCATTATGCCTTTTTCCATTATTCTATCTGAAAACAATTACAATCCCAAGGAGGAAAGGCGACAGGCAGGCGCCGCCGGCCAATGCAAAAAACAGCCCTTTGCAATGTTGATCTAAAATAACATTGGGAAAAGAGCAGGGAGTTTATGAATTATAGTAGTATATTAAAGATTTCAACACGTATGTTAAAGAGCATGATATAAAAATTAACGGAATTGTATATAAAAAATTGCTCTTGGTTTATAGCCATTGATCATTGTCTACTTTCGAAATAATTAGCTTTGAAAATAGTATCACGGAATTGAAGTCTCGTGTATGTCGATGAAATGTAATAAAAAATATTATTTATTCGTTAATTTTACACGGTTAAGGTAGTATTTTTTCTTTACATTCAAATTCAAGAATGAGAAATAAATAATCCTAATCCCTTTATAGATGACGGTGTTCTGACATAACAAACATATAGAAAAACCAATGAATTAAGAAACTTCTTCTATTAGAGTTGGTGAAAAAATATTTAATTCATAGCACTGAAATAAATGCTCATCCTTGGACAAGACATATTCACGACGTCAGCCTTAGAAATCCTAAAAATTATTCTACCAGTTCTACTGGTCAAAAAAAGAGAAACAAACACATTCATAACGATAAAGAAACCACATACGAGCTTCAATTTTTATTTCGATTAACAAAAATGAAGAGACTGTCGACCTAAGTAATTCATAATATGACTTTATGACGTCTACAATTAACCATAGAAATGTAAGGGCAGTAAACGACCCTCATCACTGACAATAGAGCGACTTTAAAAATAATATCGTGATATAGTATTATTCACAAAAACAACATCTATCCTGTTATCCAAATACAAAAGTTAGATTACATTAATCCTTTGTTTACACGTTTAGTGAAATTCAGTGTGTATTTTTATTTATTTGTTTAAAAACTATACTATTTTCATCCAAAACTAGGAGACTCGTCATTTAAGTAGTCTTTTATAAAGTTATGGACTCGTTAATCAAAGCCCGATCTAGATATTTAGCTACTCCGGACAAAAATAATATTCTCCACCCTTTTCAGTAACACCCTATAAGGTCATAACTAGTCATGAGGTTGCTATTTCGGCGATGTTTCTATTATGTGATAAGTATTGTTGGAGTTGTATGATATGTATGTGCGTTGGTCTACTAAGGCTCCTAAACTAGTATAAATAAAGTAAATAAATCTTTTATTACTGCAAAATGTAACATGGTAAGTTAATACATCAAACGGATAACTTAATTTACTGACATGCATTTTACAGAGAGCGTAATAATTGAAAGTTAGGTTTTCCGTTGGTAACCTTACCAGGCCTGGAAACCAAATTTTTTTTTAAATATTACCTCATGCCTTATAACCTGAATAAGTAACAAAATATTAAAGCGTTAAAAAAAAAGATAAAATAAATAGGTATAATTTAACAATAACTTAAAAAAAAACAATCAGTAGTATCTTTATCTAAGGCGTAACCCCTTATAAATAATATTCCTTACCTCAGCCGCAGTTTGATTCCTTAAAATACAATGCTTGGTGACACAGCTGTCAGAAGATGACATGCGCGCCTATAAACTGACCGAAACGCTATGCAAATCTAGTGTTACCAGTTGCAGTGGTTAATCTATAAACACTTTGTGAGTGTATCGTGATTATTTTGTGTGATAGTAGACCTATGCTCAAATAGCGATGTTCTGAGTATGAATAGTTGGCGCACACATAGTACCCCGGCGTTCTTATATAGTTGTACGGCGGGTAAGGAGAGGCCTATGTCCAGCAGTGGACTATTAAAGGCTGTTAAAGACGATGATCTAAAAGGCTTTCCAGCCTGGCTCCCGGCCCTCCAGCCAGGCTTCAGCTTGAATCATAGAAGTTTTAGCAGCACTACCCAGCATGTATGCATGCATGACGCAGTATATTATTAAGGTAGTATACTATTTTGACTTTTACTTTTATGACTGCGTAAACCAGCTGAGAGGATCTCAATAATTTTTTATGATTTTTTCTCGGAGAAATAAATGAGGACTCATTTTGTCAAATTGAGCATTTACCCGCCTTGCCCCTTTGGAAATCAAACTCGGAGGTAGAGAGAATACTAGTAATGTGTATGTATGTCTCGTAACCAGTATACTTTAAAAGTATACGAAAGTTCATGAGAGTATATAGGTATCAACAACATCAACATACAGGTATATTTATTTGAAATTATATTTGTATTTCTGTTCAATAATTTCTTAGAAACTACTGAATCTAATTAATTGTAAACATTCACGCCACTTTTCAATTTAAAATTTTCATGTGGTCAGAATGTATGTAGTATAAAAGGGTATTCCCTCAAAAATATTGTAGTACTTAAATACAAACAACTAAAAGTATTTAGAAATAAAAAAGTATGTTTACCAGCAGTCTGGTTATCATAGACAGGTAGGTACAGTAGTTTGGGATCTAACTGCCGTGTGAGGTCTATTATTATTATTTTCTGATCTCAACGTTTATAGCAAATCCTCGTTGAAAACGAGATAAAGAAGGTCGCCAGTTCAGAAATGTGAAATATGTAAACGATTCGGGAGTATTATAATCGGCGAGTATTCTCCCGAGATGGTACCATTATCATATTAAAGAAAGCCCTCAAATTTCATAGGCTATAGATTCTCGTTTAAAACACGTATCGAACTTTCTCGATTGTTAGAGTTAGATATACTCATTGATTACTTAGGCTGGTTATCAACAAAAATATTTTTTCTATCTATCTTTATCTATATAAATTTCAGTAAAAGAACAAAATGACAGATTATCTCGGGTTGTTCCCTCTTTTAAAGAAATGTATGTCGCCTTTATTGTTTTATTTTTTTACGTGTGTGCGTGTGTGTGGCCTCTCTAATGATAGGACAAATGTACGTGACCTTCTTCAAGCTAAGACTGAGTCTCAATCTCGTGTCCTCATTCAAGACTTGATAAAGAGTATCTCTTACCTTAGTTCCCTATGCGTTTTCCTTACCCCAATTTATCTTCCTTTGTCTGAAAACGGTTTTATTCCCAAAGTTATCGCAAATCCAAAAGATATCGTCCTATATGTATAAGGTTGGTCATAAAAGAAACCGCTCAAAATCTTTTTTCCGCTCAATTCCCATTTTGAAAATGATGATGAAAAATGATGATGATTATATTTTAATTTCAAACGGTACAAGTTCTGTCTATATTCTGTATTATACGATTTAGAAGAATGTGCAAAACACCACTTGCTATTTGAACGAGGGGGAAGGGTGAGGAGGGTTGAATTCGCACGCATATAATTATTTCGTGAGAATCCACATCTGAAAAATCTTTAAAGAAAAGATTGATTCAAAATTACCGCATTATCCGATAAGAAAAGTTTTCACGTGTTTGATATTTAAGTTAGTGAATATAATCACAGATTTATGATCATTACCATAATCTAACTGTATATACATAATGTTATATGTATTTATATCTTTATTGAAATTAGATTTGTACAAAAAGTATGTCCCTCATTTTGTTACAATATACGAGTAAATCGAGGAGAAGCAACTAATCTCCTTAAATTAAGAAAAAAACTTTTGGTTATTTTTCTTTCATCTGATCATAGCATAATACTACTACTCCACCTACTAATAATTCACCATTTGTCAATTCCAAATCTCTGCCTTAATGTTCAACTGTTATTGTTAACTAGATCAACGAATAATCAGCGTTTGACTATTCAACGCAGTTATATTATGCATTTTCAATCTTCCGTGTAGTGACAGATTAAAAATACGGAGAGTGGCCACCCCTATTCATTCTGTGGGTGTCGTAAGAGCCGACTAAGAAAGCAAGCTACGCAGGGCAACAGCTCTACAAAGAGAAGTAAAATTTGAAACATACTCTTTACCAAACCATCTGGCCAGCGTGGTATAGTAGCCCAAAACCTTCTTTCTAAGGAGAGGCTTATGTGAAGTAGTGGACTATTGAAGTGATGATAATGATGCATTACTAACAGTATCGGAAATAGTTACGTTATTCATTGTTAGAGGCGTTATATAATTGAGACATAATATCATTTTGTTTATGTGAAAACAACATGACGACGTGCAATTATTTTGACGACGTGCTTTAAAACGTCGTTACAACAAACCATAACTACTCACATCTTGGTCATAAAATTATAATACTATTTCATGAAATGGTCGATCGGTCATCGATCATGAAGGGATCAATTCTATGATTGAGCACAAGATATCTAAGTATTTTAGAAATACCTAGATATTTATAATTGACAAATAGTAAACTGAGGGAGGTCATTGTTTCTACTTTGTTTATGTCAACTTACAATAGGACTGATTGCAATAACAATAATAATAAGTTGACACATCTTACACAATGCTTAGGATCTGCCTAGTTTAGGACTAGATGTCCTAAACTAGGCAGATCCTAAGCTATGGTTACCAGACTGCTTATATACATAGGTAGTTATATATTTCCACAAAACATACGCAAATAGATAAATTACACTCAGACACAGAATAAATGATCATTCTTATCGCATAGTTACCTGTCCTGGACGGGAATCCCACCAACGACCTCTGGCTCAGCAGTCAGGATCAACCACCATTTACCACCAAAATATTTTGTAATGGTTGTTACCTATATGAATAATTAAAGGTTATAGGTCATTAGACCGACCCAACACCGGACCAGGCCCTCAATTCTGCTATTTTATGTTAACGCCAAGCCACTGCCGTTCCATTGACACGCTATTGAGATACCATTGACATCTGTCAAAATACCTGTATTCTACTAACATAAATTAACAGTGTCAATAGACTGTCGATATAGTAATATAGGTCATCAAAGGTGATATCACAAACATTGCTATACTTGGAAAATTAAAAACATCATTTTCTTACAAATTTCAAATGTACCGTTGACCAAACTGTTATAAAGACATCGACGACATTTGTATAAGTGACAACTCATTTAGGCTAGGCAGGCTATTGGTCTTACATAGTTAGTAGAACAAGAAAAGTGCAAAACTATTCCTACGACATTCCATCGACAGTCTATTGATACAATATTAAAATAGCAGAATTGAGGCCCAATGAATGAGCATACGTTCACTACATCAACTCTAGAACATCGCGCGCGAGTGGTTCACGCTCAAGGACTCTTCGTCGAATGTGTCGGTCCACCGGTAGACCACCTCTCGACAGCCAGTAGACACCGAGTGACGACGTGGTGTTGGTCGGATGGATCTTATAGGCTTTTCTTTACCTTAAACATAACCTTAAGTCTCATATTCCTTCGTAGAACTCGAATCAAGACCAGAACTTGAGCAAGGCCATGGGGTCCGTGGTACTCCAAGTTGGTGCTCTCGAACTTCTAGCAAGGTATTCCATGAATTCGGGGAGAGCTACAAGCGTTTTGTCGTCACTGCATGAATTCAGAGTACAAGAAGTAGAGATGGCTGGTGGAAAACAATGGAATTGGAAATATTTAAGGGTAAGTTTTAAGAATCATAAATATTTTAACAACACGCTATTGTGTCTTAGGACATAGCGTGTTGTTCTATAACGTAACTATGTAAGGTAAAATTTGTCTTTGTCTGTTACAGGACCAATTCGATCAAAAAGACTTGGAAGGATTATACAGAAGATACGATGACAAATTACGCGAAACTTTAATTTATATTTATTTGAGTCTATTAATATTATTCACCACCGTACATATAATTTTTGTTGTTGCTGGTACAGTAACGGAGGTAAATTCTTTTCTAAAATGTAAATCAACACTTCTTTCTATCTTCACAGTTTTTTTTTAATTTACCTACATTTGGCGCGTACCACGATGGTTGTATCTGTAGGTAAACAAAATAAACGCGCTCACGAAGTAGGTAGGTATTTTATACTGTACTAGCCGTGGCAGTTAACCTTGCATGTACCTTTTTTTTTTTTTTTTTTTTTTTTTTTTTTTCCCGTGCGGAAATCCCCTCGGATACCACCTGTCGGTGGCATGTCGGACTCGAACCGACTAAAACCGCACGCCTTCGCCGGGTACTAATAGCCGGGGAACCAGGTATACCCTAGAAAGGAAGGCCCTGGTGCCCCGACATACCTCGGGTCATCTACAGACGAGTAGACGACCCCCGCCCCGTGTGGGAACCCCATGTTCACTGTGCTCCCTGGAAGCGAGCGCGCTTCGCAACGCGCTCGCCGCCACCAAGGCCTGCTTCTGCTAGGGTGACGGATGGCCTCACCTGTCACCCCCAGGCCTGCGCTTATGGAGGACGGAGGTCATTCTGCGACCTCCGGCGCCTGAGTCGCCTGCGCTGCCTGGCCCGTGCCCGGGCCTGGCGGGCCGGGAGAGTTCTAAACCTCTCCCGGTCCCGCTCCGCCGTCTCCTTCGCGAGCATAACTTGCTCGCAGAAGGAGACGGCAGAGTTCCACGCACTCTCGCTCCGCACGATAGCCGCAATCAGGCTATCGAGCGAGAGAACTCCCACTCCGATGGCCGCCACGAGGTCTCGCCTCTGCTTAACCCACGCCGGGCACTCTGCCAGCGTGTGGAGAGCCGTGTCCACGGTCTGGCCATCGCAGTGGTGGCACTCAGGCGTTGGCTCCTTGCGGATCAGACACAGGTGATCTCCGAAACATCCCTTCCCAGTGATCACCTGCGTCAATCGGTATGAGAGGGTCCCGTGACGCCTCTCGAGCCAATCCTCCATAACGGGTCTTACCGCCGCAATGACGGCGTGCCCAGCGCTCGGTTGCCCGAGTCGTTCCCTCCACAACCTTGCATGTACCTAAAAGGTACTTGTAAAGAGGTCATAAAAAACATAACGCGTGCTAAAAAATCCTTTTAGCCCTAGATCTTGCACTAGCGATTATTTTAAATATTAGAAATTAAAATATGTTCACGTAACTCTGTAAGCTAGTATTATCACACATAGAACAAACACGATAGAGTTTTCAAAAAAACATAAAAATCATTTATTTTCCAACAGCGACTTCTTTATTTGTTAAGGAAAGGTATAAGTTATTTCTGTAAAACATTCCAAAATTACACTTATGAGTTCATAGACTTAATTAACGTGAGTGACTTTTCAGCAAATACAATCAGTGTCTACATTTCTAACAATGGGAATGTACGTTTTAAGGATAGCAGTGCCGATAATATGCCTGTGGAAGCGAATTTACTATCCTCTAAAGACAAAATGCTTTTGGATGCCGATACTTGTCACGTTTGTTATTACTTTAAATCTTGTTTTCACAGGTAAGAAAACTAGTTACATTACAGACAGATATCACTGTTTTATATCATTATGATTCATTTAATTAATAAATAACTAAACGACAGCTAATAAGCTCCCGGAATAACCCAAGATTACAAAAGATCCTAACACAAATTATTTTTAAATTAACATTTAAATATAGTACAACTGAAAAATTAATTACTTTTACAAATACTTTTACACGTGGTCGAATTTTTTAAAGCTAGATGTTACCACTGTTTGCTATGCCCGAGGATTTCGTATTATGTACATGATCCAACATTGAAATAACAGTATTACAACTTACTACATCTCTTTAGATCAGGAAATGCACCGTTGTCAATACATCTCTTAACTACTTTATAAGTTGATTGTATTAAAATACTTTTATAATATCTTTCGATTTTTTTACAATACTAATTTATTTACATTTATTTAAATTCTCATTTTACAAAGAGAAAGATTGAGCAGAAATGTAGCCTCTGCTTTTGAGTAGTACTCCAGTCTCAACATTGGAGAACAACTCAAAAGTAAGTTAATAGGCGATTAGTTCTCCATGTTCTTTTAAATTTCTCATTATTTATAAAATTCGAAATCATGCTAATTTTATTGAAGCCGTTTTAAATTTATGAAATTTAATATTTTTTTCTTCCTAATTGGGCGAGCCTTTATTTAAAAACATCTTAAAGACCTTTATATAATAATATACATGTATAAGGACCATTGAGACAAGTTGACGGCTGAGCGGTCTACTGCAAGATTCTCTGTTGAAAGGTTCATGGTGATATCTATTGATATTCACTTTATTTGAGAAAACAAACTAGAAGTCTCGTTTGGTGGATCCAAATTACATGATAGCTTTCAAAACACCCAAAGCGTAAACTATGCCCTTCCAAACCGCTCTCGTGACTCGTAAGGTCACGGCATACCCTCGGCTTCGTACAGTAAAATCTATTGACTCTCTCATGCATACGCACGTTTACATCAGCGGTTACTAAAACACTGAGTGCTGCAATGAAATCTGTCTGAGATATGCGATAATTTACAAGACTAATGTATTCTATAATTTTAATTACAGATGTTATCATCAGTGTCTATAGTTATTTTGAAGGTATTGCTTTAAGACCTGCATACGCGACGATGGCACTGCTTTCTAGTTACATCTTCCTTCCAATAAGAAACAACTTCTTAGTTATTTTTCTCGGTATTTTGGTCAGCACTATCTACGTTTTAGTTTACGGATTCTTTTCATACGAAGAAACTCAATATCTTGGTGCTGTTGTAAGTATTTGTATAGTGTATAGTTTACATCAAATACACACATCTTAATAAGTGATCATAATTTTGAATACTTCTTATATTTCTAAAGACTATTTCTAGGGGTTCCGACTAAAAATATGTATTTTCCTTAGTTATTTTTCACATTTTAAGTCATACTAGTTTTTTTACTCATTGTTAGTGTTCTAGTGATATAATTTTTTCACTTCAGGTTTCATCGGAAATAATTTACTTGATCGGGGTGAATCTCATGGGCATATATTTTAGACTTATGAATGAAATAGTTACCAGACGATCATTTTTAGACAGGCGGGCCTGTGTAGAAAGCACCCTCCGATTGAAGTTTGTCAAAGAACAAGAGGTAAGGATAATCTTAAGATATTATTTTTATATTGTAGTAGGTTCTTTCCCTTTACAATACAGATAAAAGCTATACTATTAAATAACATTCCTTAATGTAATCTACTGATAAAACACGTTAGGATAGTACAATTCGCAAAACTGACAGTTGATAGCCGTTATTTCTTTTTATGAACATAAATGACATTGAAAGAGACACAGGTCTGGTTATGGGGTCATGAGCTAATGCTTACTCTTATCACGATTTAGTTTTTCTGTCTTATGCCATCCACACACTCATGGAAATGTCAAAATGGATACATACCGGTAATGTACCGGTACCGGTAAACTAGTCAAATCTTATAAAAGCGGAATCACAAAATTCTTCTTGTTTCATCTTCATCTACCAATTACCGTTTATTATCTGTATTGCTATTCTTATCCAAAATCCTCGAACGACAAATGCTTTACTACAGCCTTGCCAATTTAATTTCCAATTGATTGTTTCAATGTTAAATGTCTGGTCTCCGACAGCATATATTTTATCGTTTAAAGACTCTTCTGGTACAGTATTCCTGCTGGTATGCCGCAAGGTAGCCCTTTACATCCCTTAATCTTTGCTATTTTATAAATTATCACTAAAGCACAAATTAATAAGATGGTTTAAAATACAGAATGTCTGTATGTTTTTTACATTAATTAGTAATTACAAGTTTTATTAAAATTTTATACACCACCAACTAAGTACTACTACTCTATCCTTTTGGAAATTACCTGTGTGATATAATAAATATATACATATCTACACATATCTATCTATAATACCTTTAAACGAGCAATTCTTGTATAAATGTATATATATATTTATATACTCGTATATACATATATAATCTGAATCTCGTGAACGGCTCCAACTAATTTCATGAAATTTAGTATGCAGGGGGTTTCGGAGGCGATCTAGATCGTACAATGTACAATCCTTCTTGCACTGTATACTATTCATCTCTTGAGAATTCGTTGCTGTTTCTCCAAAAGTAAAAGATTTTTACATTTCGAAGGACCCTATTTCTTATCCTATAAGCAAATGATTGACAAAGATTATTTTTAATAAATTACAAAAACCGTGAAGCCCGCCATTCAACGAAGGTCAACGCCACGCGTAGTACGCCATATTGGCGTGTTATACAGCGGTGACAGCCAGGATTGTTTACCTATTAACTGTAAACTTTCAGGAAGAACTCAGCAGCAAAATACACTAAAATATAAATAATTATAGTCGGTTCGACCCGACTTTGTCCTTTGTCGCTGATGGCAACTTTATCTCTTATTTCCTTTAGATACTTATTATACTTACATATTTATAATAATAAAAAGTTTTTTATTGGTAAAAAAATTGATTGTAGTACAAAGTATTTGTGATAAGTATTAAATCAAATTTATAACCTGTTTTTGTTTATAACCAGGAACGACTTATGATAAGCATATTGCCAGAACACATTGTGTCTAAAGTGCGACAGGATATAAGAACCATGTTCTTGGGTCTCAACGAACATCCCATAAGACAAAATATGAAATCTTTCAAGTAAGTTATTTACTATAATTCTCAGTAAGTACTAATACTGTATGCTTCACCTTTAACTCTTATATCAGTTATTCAAGCCAGAATAATGAAGACCTACGTGTTTGAAAGTGTCACACCTTTTGCATTTGACTAAGAGTGCTATGAATTATAGCGTATATAATTACGAATACATACTCAAATATTGTCTGAGCTATGATATAACCTTGTAATTCAAAGAATGCTAAGGTTCAGATTTCATTATCGTTGTGGTATCCTTGATTTACACCTTGTATTTTCTTCTAATACAAGTAAAAGATAAGTTATCAAAGGTTTTTGGTATTTTCAATTATGTACCTATTTTATTCAAGGTTTACGACGTAGCGACGTTTGAGCCCTTTTTGTTCGATACATTTCGTTGGTATAATTGCAATTACTTTTAGTTAACATAACAAATGCTAAAATTTAATTACTAATTTATTTACATAAAAAACAAAAGATAAACTGCAAATATTGCAAAACGTTTAAGAATCAATCCTCCTAGGCATTTAAGTATATTAATTTAAGTATGAGGTAAAACGTATTTTTAACATAACAAATTTAGTAGCTATGCATTGCGCTGTTATCAGTATTTTCTTCATGAACTATGTCCTAATACATTAATTAAGCGTATCTCAAAAGATCTAATAAGTATATTTATCTCAGCTGTATTTCTGTGAGAGTTAATGTAAAACATGATAACTAATGTTTATCAGAATAGATGGTATCAATTAATCGAACGATTGTGTCATACATACATATTTATAATTAGTCACTAGTGATATCTGAAATTCGTGTCCCTGTATGCATGACGTATTGGTTATAAATTTCTGGAGCAATTATACCTACAATAAATTTGTAAGAAAACTCAGCTATTTGTTAAAGTCGCCTTTGCACATATCATTTTTTTTTGTATCAAATACCTTGTTTATGCTTATATAGAAAGGAGATGTTATGTGCAGGAAGTTAAATGATTAGAATCATCATGAGTCCTGACGCTTCAATAGAACTTTTTCTAGCCTAGTCCTTCTGTTTACAAAAACATATTCTCAGCTCAAGCATTTCTCAAGCCAGTAATCTCAGGTAGTTCATAAGCTAAGTTCGTAATGTTAGAGTTTTATCACCATTGTTCTCTTTCAGCCAGTTGTATGTTGAAGAACATGATAACGTAAGCATATTGTATGCAGATGTGGTTAACTACACAATGATATCGACTACGTTGTCGCCCATGAGGATGGTAGAACTACTCAACGAATTATTTGGTAGATTTGATGAAGCTTCTGAGGTTTGTACTACTTACACAAGTATGGCCTTAATAGGATATAGGATATTAGATACTGTCTTCTTAAAATAATACACATTATGCGACTTAAATATACTATTTATGTTAAGTTCTCAACCCGTCACTCGTACACTGAAGGTGCTTGGTTTTGAGATTAATGAATATTGAGACTAAAAAGGGAGATAATATACCGCCGAGACTAAGACTAACTCGAGATAAGCGGTGTAATCCGAAACGTCGTATAAAATCAACGTTTCTATTTTTCTAAGATTTGTGAAAAGCGATTTATGTAAAACTTGTTAATACAAGTTTTATACAAATCGCTTTTTGTAATTTATTATACTCTAGTAGTACCTTTGTTTGTTATTTTTATTAATATATACTTGGAGAGCTTTAAGGAAAATAAGTTGGAGAAATAGCCAAAACTAAAACATAATCAATTCAGTAAAAAAAATAGTTGTGACGATGACAATCGTACTTAACTGATATTAAATTTAGTATTTTCTACTCCGTAGTATTTTCACTATAAAATTATGTTTTAGGAATACGATGTGTTAAGAATAAAGTTTCTTGGAGACTGCTACTACTGTGTCAGTGGTATACCGAAGCCCACCAACCAACATGCTAAGAACTGCGTGGATCTTGGCCTGGAGATGATACATATAATTAAAGACGTGAGGTACGCCTAAACAATTTACTTGTACAGTGATTCTATGATTCAACTGAAAAAGTTTATAGAGACCTACCTGTCTCCTCAATCCACGGGTTAGCGAAAATGCCAGTAATAATAAGTAATTTATGTACCTATGCCTTCAGGGTAATCTGGGGTTTTAATTATTATTTAAAACCATCAGTGGACTTATTGATCTAACCATTAACAGCTCAAGCAAGCTTACAGTATTCCAAATGTTTTAAACATAATAATATATTAAGTTTATACTATCGCATATAAATGCAACGTTCAAAGTTACACCATAAATGTGATATTCTGGTAAAAGTAAAACTTCTGTACGTAAAGGGCTTTTACAATTAAATGTTTTATTCACAGAGAAAAACGCTCATTAAACATGGACATGAGAATAGGTGTCCATTCCGGTAAGATCCTAAGTGGAGTAATCGGCATTAGAAAATGGCAATTTGATATTTGGTCCAAGGATGTGACAATAGCAAACAGAATGGAATCTACGGGTAAAGCAGGGTAATCAAACTTATTTTGTTCTCAAGTAACTTTTGTTAAACACACACTTTATCTACCAAATTGCAATCGGCCAATCGGGGGATTAGCCGATTCCGATTTAATGAACTTCTCCTGACCTTATTTTACATAAAAGTATTTGGGTACAACAGAATATCGTAGCTGCGATAACCTTGAGTTAAATTTAGGTTCTTTGCATGTGTTTTAAATTTACCTGAAGAGGAGGGGAAACCTAGAGGTTACTTTTATTTTTGTTTAGATACAGCGACTTTCACTTTACTTATATCATAATAATTTTCTTATGTAATACTCACATTTCAGGAAGGTTCACATAACAAAACAAACCCTGGAATTACTTTTGGATTATGCCAGGGAATATATAATTGAACCAAACTATGAATCTCAAAATGATTCTTTTTTAATGAAAAATAAGTTGGAGACGTATCTGGTATCGAGGCCGGAACGGGTAATAAAATATTTATTGAAACAACTTATCTCTATTTCTTTTAATTGGTATTATATATTTACATAATATGCTTTTATTACTATGCTTTTATACTTTCAGAATGTCGATTATAAACCGTTTCGAAGGGCATCCGTTGGAATGAACAAAGTCATAACCAAAAGTAATACATCTAATAGAGTAAGTGCGAATTTTTATTCTTTTAAATAAATAATATTATTGAAAGTACTAACTTCAAATGAACATAATTTGATATTTTACATAAATTAATTCGGATTAGATTAATTAATTTTGACCACGAATCTACAAATCAATATAAACTTAACTTTAACAAGGCATTGTTTGTTAAAGGCAGGGGTTTGTTAAAATAAACATAAAAGTAAAACAGATTTGACATTCTTAGCTTGTGAATGATAAGTGAATATGAAAGCTTGGTTTGGTCAAAATGCTTATAATTTATAAGTAGAAATCTAGTTAGTTACTCATAGCCAGGCACTTGCTTTAGTAGTTCAAACGATTGATCTGGACAAGATTGCTCAATGTAGATGTCTACAAGCTATATCTTTAATCAATGAAATAATTCCCTCACAAATTAAAGATAATGAATTGCTATATTATTTGTGTATTTCTAGTAGCGATCGAAAACAAGAAGCTCTAGCCAATTTCGAAGGACGACCACGTTTATGGATGATAATTTGGTCGAATATCAACAGATGCTTAAAGCCGCAGATGCACAAATGGCTAAAGAAATTGAAGATATGACTAACGGCAAGTAAGTTAAAATTCAGTAGTTCTTAACGCATATTAAAATACATAACAGTCATTACACAGACTAACAAAATTTGACAAAGTTTCCTTCAAAGGTTTTTTTTTGGTTGGCCAGTGTTATTAATGATGATTGGTTTTTCTTTAATGAAATTGATAGTTGGCTATGGGTAAAAAATAATGAGTTTTAACAATAAGTGTTTTCAAAACTATTAGTTAGAATCTTTTTATTAGTTACACATTTGTTACACACTTTTTACAAGGAAGTTGAAATAAATTGAAAATAAAATTTAAACTCTTTAATAAATTATTTCAGAGAACATTTCCGCAATGAATCAAAATTGAACAGATTTACGTTGATGTATAGAAATTTTACTTTGGAGAAAACGTTTTTGTTACTACCAGACCCACTCTTTAAATATTATATTACATGTTGTCTTACAACATTAATATTGATATTACTGATCAATGGATTGACTACAAATTGGTAAGATATTATTTAGCCTGTATGCAAATATTTATGTATTTGTCGTGGCTAGACCTAATAATTGATAACTTCATGATATTTCCAACTACTAAAACTGACCGTATCTTTTAATAACAAGGTTTGATGAAATCTTAATTTTGGCCACACTATTAATGAAAGATATTGATGATATATGCTGTCAGAGTCGGGGATGAGGGGCGTGCACGCTTTGGAGACTGGATATTTATAGATTAACGTTGTTGGATATTGTGTAAATCGTAGTGTATTTTTATTGTGATCTGCATATCTGTAATTTGTCTTGTTATATGTTATATATTATTGTTATATGTTATTAATGTTGTGATGTATGTATACAATGTGTACTACATGTGTTATGTGTACTACATGCAACAGGGTTTACGCATAGCATCATTTTGGGCCCAATTGAAAACCAGCGTCAGGCTTCCATCTGACATAAGGCTGAATTGGGTCCGTTTTTGGCATCGTTGGTAATCCAAGTTGCAATTGTTCAAAATGTATTATTGCCAAAATAAACGATTTTTCTTTCTTTTCTATATAAAACTTTTAATAAATTTTAAATAAGAAGGATCATTTATATTACTTTTATCGGTTTTGTTTGCACTAATAAATTGCTTTTAAATAGAATATTTATATGTGGTGACAGATTAAGAATACAGAGTGTCACCACCCCTATTCATCGCGCGAGTGTCGTAAGAGCCGACTAAGGGAACCAGCAGTTTACTGTTAAAGGCTGTTGATGAAGCCGCCATGATGTAGCTATTTCACGATATGATCATCCAATATTTGACAAGGACAATATTATTTTTAAACGATATCATCTTATGGCATATATTGTCTTGTTTTAGTTAATACGGGGAGTAGCTATTTCACTAAAACAATACAATACAACAAACTTATTTGGCTATTATGCATTATTCATCATTCATATTACTTGCTACTTCATTTCAGGTTACAAAGTTATAAATGGTATACCTGGTTTATATTTGGGCTTTTTGTAGTTGCCCTTATTATCATGCAACCGCTCACATGGTTTCAATTTCTCTGGACTAAATATAAAGGTTTTGAGGAACCCAGAAATACGTATCTAAGGTACATATACGATATTTCTGCAAAAATTATAAGGTCAGCTAAAATAAGAACCGCAATTTATCTACTGATTAGCTTCGGTCTTGCTGCTACGTCGGTAGTCAACATTATAGAATGTTCAGAAGTACATGTACCAGCAGCTGAAGCTGTTCTCTCGAACTGCATATCGTCGTGGGTAATCATTTTTTTTTAATTTATCATTTATATTGTTTTTTTTCTTCAAAGGTTAAAACTCTTTCTTTATTTACAGCATGTGACACAATGTTGGAGCTTGGCTTTATTATTGAACTTTTTATTTAGCAGAGTATTTTTTATTTTCAAGTGGATCGTAGCTGGAGCTATGACCGTATTCTATTTATGGGTAGTCTGGGAAAGAAGAACAGCATTTTTCAGTATCGATACTTCCTGGAATGTAGGGCTGGATCCCAGAATAGCACATACACTTTCTGTTCTTATAATTACTATTACCCTTTACTGGATAGACAGAACTACTGAGTACAGAAATAGATTAGACCATTTATGGCAACTCCAATTAAGTGAAGAACAAAAAGAAGCAGAAACTATGTTGAAAGTTAATAATATGCTCTTAGAGAATATACTTCCAGCTCATGTAGGTCAGTAACAAGGTGTGAACTATCCATAAACGAAAATTGATGTGTGAAATTATTTAACACCAAGTATTCCTTATTTCAGTTCAAGTTTACCTAAACCTCAACCGATCTGTAGATGAGCTTTATTATGAGAAATATGATAATGTGGCAGTAATGTTTGCATCGTTGACTAACTACAAACTGGGAGTGGGAGGAGATGCTGACATGAGCGATAAATTCCTACTAAGTATATTAGATGAAATCATATCGGACTTTGATAGAGTATGTAAAACCTAACTATTTCGGGCTATATGGACATTCCACATTACTAATGAACTATTGCATGATTTTAGTTACTACTCACGGGTGCATCAAATTATAAAGTGGAAAAGATAAAAATGGCTGGGTGGACTTACATGGCCGCATGTGGTTTAGATCCAAGTAGAAGAGAATCTATGGATTCCGTATCTTTGCAATACCCAACCGTGCGGAAAAACAGTACTCCGTACAACAGAGCTATAGTATTGACCATGGTAGAGTTTGCAGCCGCTATGATGATGCAATTACAAAATTTTAATCGAGGGTCATTTCAAAGTTTCGAGGGATTAAATATAAGAATTGGTAAATAATTAAATGTATAAATTAAAAGAGAACATACTCCTTGAAATAATGTTAATTTTGTAAATTTACCACTAATTGACTTGATTATTTGTTAAGGTATATCCAACGGCGAAGTGGCAGCCGGTGTAGTGGGATCTCAAAAACCACTGTATGATATTTGGGGACACGCAGTTAATATGGCATCTAGGATGGATTCTACAGGAGATAGTGGTAAAATACAGGTATATTTTTTTTATTCAGAATTAAGCTTTCTGAGTGCAATTGGATATTAACCAGTAATTTGTGATGACAGGTCACAGAAAACACTGCCATTATCTTGGACGAATGCGATATCTTGACGACATGTAGAGGTGAAACTTTCGTAAAAGGAGCAGGCTACATTAAAACTTATTTTGTGCCACTTGATGAAAACTTCAACTTGATTATGAAAGAAAACAGCATGAACTATTACAGGGTTCAGGATAGAGCTCGTTATTTTAACATTAGGAATAGCATGTACAGCGATAATTTATACGAGATAAGGAAGATGTCTTACGATAGCATAGGCAGTTATAGTTATATTAGTGACACTGGAACAGTGACGTACTATGAAAAGAAAACATCTACAGCGAGTGAAGACACTAATAGGTCTGTTTCAGAAACAAGAATAGTAAACCAAACTGGAAATAAATTATCTATGAACAGTGAAGGAACAAACAGTTTTGTGTCAGAAAAAAACATACCTCTACAAATTAAAGAAAACTCTTCCACTGACTATGAAATATTTAGTAATATAGTTACGCCAGCTGTACGCAATTGTTCTTTGACTAGTGAAGATACTATTAGCTATGGGATTGAACCTAGGGCATCTACATCTTCAGACAATGTTAATTATATATCTGACGAATGGGATAATACTGATATTAAAGAAACTCGTTGCTAATTAATAGTTGTTTCAATCAGTTGGTTCTTAAAATTCATCTAACAATCTACAACTGTTGAAATTAAACAATTGTTGGAGTTGGAGTAACAAATGTGGAGTGGCAAAAGGTAGAAGTTATAATAAAGCTCGGAATAGAGCATCCGTCAATAAGGTGACTGATGATCTAGTAAAAACATCGGCTATCGGAGACCGCTTTCAAACGATCTTCTAGGAACTGAAAGTCATTAAAGGACGCTATATTCACGAGTGGACTGCTATGACTAATCAAGAAAATGATGATTGCATCAAAACAAATGAAATACCTGCTAATGATAAATGATAAGGGCAATAAAGAATAAACATTAAAAAAAGCAAAACAGAATATTTTATTAACGTATGTTATACTTTGCTTGATATGTTTTTAATGTTATCTGTGTTTTGTATGTTTTATTAATTGATGATAATTATACACTTTACGAACACTGAGTTTCGGTGCGGCTGTAAGTTTCGGCCAATTTCGACCGACATCAAATCTCGAACCGAAACAAGATTTTTTGGCCGAAACCGAAACCTAACTTTCGGTCGGTCACTAAAAATAGAATAGAATATGTTTTATTATACACCAATTACAGTATTTCAGTTAAATATTACAGACGGATGTACGATGGGTGGCCTTATTGCTAATAGCAATCTCTTACTGACAACCTTTGGAGGGAGAAATCGACAGCAGATGAGAAGAAATATGGATAAAAATAATCTTCGAAGTGGGTTGTATATTGTGTTAAGTTTGAGGTCAATGGGTACAAAACTTTTTTAAAGCGTGCGCAAACCAACTTAACTTTTATATAATAGCTGTACTATGCCACGCTTCGCTGTGGCACATTGTGGTACTATCTTAGACTTTTATGCCTTGTTAGATAACTGACAATACGTACATAAATTTAATTTCAATATTACTCAAAAAATATTACAAATTTATGTCACTTTGATATTATCAACCATTTACTTCGGCCCAGTTTGTTAAATTAACTACATAGTAAATAATATTAGTAATAATTTCTACTATAACCCCCTAAAGTATTTAGGTCGACTTAAACAGTATATATATAACAGTGTATTTAAATAGATTAGAGTTTACTCGCGAATTCAGACGTAATAATTTTTTAATTTATTTTAAAAGAATTTTATAAGTATTCTTATAGTTGCTGCATATGCATGTTTTCTGAATGTAAAAAAAAAAAGATCATCAACAGCCTTTACTAGTTCACAGGTGGACATAAGACATAAGCCTTAGAAAGGGGGTTTTGGCGTACTGTTGATGTTGATTGAAGAGAGAGTTTGTTTAAGTTAGGGCTTGTTAAGGCATGTAGAGCAAGAAGTTTGGCTATACATGAGATCTGATAAAGGTTTGACAGTGTGAACTATGGTCTCGTTTTGGCAACATTTTACATGAAATTGTTTTTGGTGGGATTTTATTATAATTATGTCATCTAAATTTATTTTCAATTCTAAAGCAAGGATAACTTTATGACTCCAGTAAAAAAGGAGGATCTTTCACGAAAAGTTGCGACAGTCTGTAGACTCTTTCAAAAGTATATAGTCACAAAATCAATTCTTACCTAACCTGCCTGATCTTTAAACTAAACCAAACTTTATGTCAAAATTAAAACATTATGGTATCGGAAATTCTTTACTAATTTGAATATGATATGATAATTAGATCTGATTTAAGATCGTATCTTGTTGGCAGAATACTCGTACAAAAACATCATAAATGGTATAAACTCCGCCGCACTGATGCAACGCTTCGCTGGGGGCGTGCCACAGGGCTCAATATTGGGACCTTTGTTGTTTTTCCAAAACTCAAAGACCAACTATCCGCACACTGTCTAGCATATAATATAAACTTTGGACATATCATATACGTTACTAATTTTATTTGCGATATTTGTTATTGTCAATATTGTAATTTGCAATTGAACATGGTGTATTCGTGAATAGCCAGAAACATACGAGTATATCGATTTAAACTGTATAGCAGCTATTGCCTTTAATATTTGAATACACCTTCAAAGTTCTAGGTTTAGCGACTAATACATCTTTAAAGCATGGAATCCTTACAAGTACCAGATGTCACGAACAGTAATTTATTGTTATAATAATAGGAAATATGGTATGTTTTTGTAACGTTCTTCTATTAACTCTTAACCGAGTAAAGGGAAAAAAGTTACACAAAAGGTTTGTACGATGTACAGTGCGGAAGTAGGTACAGCCAGGCACTTACTGACAGGTTGTAGGGCGCTACTAGACTGGGGTCATTATTCACGTCGCCATTATAAGGTATATCATACGCGAAGCTTTTAAGTTTATTACTGGCGAGAAAAAATAAAAATAACAACAAACATTAGAACTAACATAACCGAAGTTTGTAAAGGAAGGCTCAACAAAAAAGATTTCACAAAAGCCGTACTCTATTATAAGCACCGCCAGTGACTGAACATTTTTAGTGGACAGGTATGAAAATCATTACAGATATACAATACCGGAAAATATCTGTGACTAGACATACTTCTTTATACAATGTCAATTAAGCGTAGTAGTAAGTGCCTAACATCTTTAAAAAGAAACCAGTACTTTGACGGGTGCGAGGGGTATACCAGCTAAATCCCTCTATTTAACCGCTAAATCTAAACTGCTTGAAGACCTTGGATCGTCAAGAGCTGCAGTAAGTTCTTTTCCTGAACGAATATTCAACGAACGAACGTTATCAAATATGGTTAGGTAGTGAGGGTAACACAGCAGACAGTGGAGTATTCCCTAAACCTACTCCTGGGTCGCAATTCAAAGGCGCTGTCTAAGACGCATGTGTTACCCTATCATACCCTACCCCATGCATCACACGATGAACCTGGCCACCACCACCCGCACGGTGAATCTTTGGAACGCTAAGAAATAGGTCTATTACAGTGATGGGTTACACTTTATTTACATGTCAGGAAAAAGTTTTAACACCGTAAGCATCAATGTTTAAGAAATTTCAAATTTTATATCGTTCTTACACATTCAGGATCAAATAACTAGCTTAATGTCATTTTGTAACAAACAACTGTTTATTTTACGGAACTAAAACACACAAAATCTTGTCCTGTGTCTATATTTTAATATGTATGTCAAATTAAAAAAAAATCGAATTTATTCCTTATAAAAATATCTTAAAATTTAAAACATATAACTAAGTCATTTCATAAGAAGTAAACACCAAAAGGTTGCGTCCATCTGGAGTACAACTGTGCAGATTATTGTGTAAGGCTTCGTTTAGAGCCGCAAGCCACTTAGCCTCCGCCCGCGGCAGTGTCTACTCATAATTCTAATGTATACCTCGTAATTTTCTAAATTCAAACTTTTATGTAAAATATTCTGACTACTTATTCAAACAGTTTCATCAGCATATTCAGTAAGTAAATTAATTTTATTATTTAAAAAATACGTATGGATCACTCTTCTTTTAGTTGCCATGCCATTAAATCAATTACATTTCATAATCGATATGGGTGTTACAAAAGTAGCAATACGAATAAGTGATACAATGTTATTTTCAGCAAGTCTCATAATGGCTGACGAACCAGAATCTCAATTGCGTCGACGACGAACATCAGCAAATTCTAATTTACCTCTTCACCTTGACGTAGAATGTATGATCAGTGAGGGTGATCCTGACTATTCGACTCCTTCGCCAAGCTGTATAAAACGTCTAGTCAATACCAAACAAAAGAATTCATCCTCCGCACTCCTGGATTTTAAGAATAAGCAACAATCCTTTGACATTCAAGTAACTTAGACTTAGTTAATTAGACTTAGAAAAATGGACTTACAATTTCATTTCTGTATTTTTTTTAATAATTTCTGGTAAATATCTAATTTCTTTCTAAATGCGTTACAATCTTATATTATGAGCACATCCATACTAATATTATAAGTCTGTTTGTCTGTCTGTTCACTCTTTACGCTTAAACCGCTAAACTGATTTAGATGAAATTTGGTATAGAGATAGTTTGACTCCCGGGAAAGGACATAGGATAGTTTTATCCCAGAAATCATCCTGTAAGGGAATGAGGGTAGAAGTTTGTATAGGGAATTAATAACCGCTGACCGACTCAGATGAAATTTGGTATGGAGATTGTTTTATTCTTGATTAAGGACATAGACTACTTTTTATCGCGATAGCCGATATACATGCGAGCGGAGCCGCGGGCATAAGTTAGTCCACTATAATGGATAAACGCGTCGTTACGTGCTCTGAGTTTAATCTCATAAGAAATGAAGTATGTATTCTAATCATTATAAAGTTAAAAATTAACTTCATTTTCAATTTATAAATTTGTTGTTGAATGTTAGACATTTACATCCATTAAACGATATAAAATTGTAAAAGTAAAATTTTTTGAAGGTAGAGGAATGCGAAGAAGAAGAAATATTCATAGAGAGTGAAGACGAGGATGCAGACGACCCAGGCGAGGCGTCATCAGCTAACCGTCCGTTCACACCGACACCAATACATGATTTTGCTGCCAATGTTGTCTACACTGAAGGTAAACTCAAACTTATTAACATGTAAGAAGACTATCTTGTTTATTTGCAATGGAAATATTTCGAGGTTCATCGAGTTTCCGCTTATCAAGGGAAACGAGGAATGAAATTTATGTAAAGGTTTATTAGATAGGTATACCTGACGCTAGCAGATGATTGGATATGCAACGTTTTAAAAGCGGTCTTTTAAAATAATAATGGAGGAAAATATTTAGGAACATCGCTGATGACCGCTTTTACTGGTGAAGAACTATTTGCTATTTGCTCTTGTAAGTATTTAATTCAATAAACATTTTTATTATATCTATGGAAACGTAGAAGAAACTGTAGTAGGTACATATTTAAAAAGGAAACTGTAATTTATTATCGGTAATCCCACTTATTTCAAAGCAAAGGGAGACTAATTTTACTTATAGGTAATAACTTTATGCCAATGATGAGACCTACATACATTACGTCTAACACATCTAATGTATAACTAGTTAGTAAAATATTTGAGAGTAAGTAAGTTAAGTATACGATAAAAAACAACAGTAGCATATATAAATTATAAACTACTTTTGGTAATTTTCAATGCCTATATATCTATGACAACTATACGAACAGACAGACGTAAAAGCATTGTAAAGCATACAAGTAAAGCATGCAAGCACAATAATTACATAATGATGTTTCAACCGTTTAGACCGAATGTAAGAGACAGTGAGTTAGAAATTTTCACTATCGAAATTCGAAATAGTTTTTTTTCTGATTAGACATTCTAAGTAGTACCACTAAGACCGAATAGGTGTCAGTTGTATCCCATTAGGCTATCTTAGCAAAGTGTACCTCTGTACCTCTCAAAATATACCTCTGCTTAAAAGCGACCCTAATCCACGAATATTCTGGGTACCTAGATCATCACGATCATTAACTTCTTTAAATCACATGTACTCAGTCAAAATTTTGTCAAAATTTCTTTAAAGAATGACTTCAATTAACACATTGACATTACAGTTAGTTATGGAAAGTCATTTTTCTCTAATTAAATTTAAATGTAACTCGACTAGGTTGCCTGGTGTAGATGCTGAACGCGGCTAGCCGTAATCCTATTACGTAAATATTAATAAGACAAGATTAGGAAAGAAGGCCGACTTATTTTTAAAATACTTCATGTATTTCTACATTATATAGTTTGTTTTGGTTACAGTAAAAGAAACGTAAGTTATAGTATTTTTTAATGGTCGAAAACAATAACAAATCTAGGATATTACTACTACTAGGTAGAGAGATACCTACTAGATTCTCGTTTAAGTTTTTTTATTCAATCCAATCGTTTTTAATCTAGCTAATGATTTTATAGGACGGATATCTATTTCTCTTATTAATTAGGTACTTAGAGTAATTTTGTTAAATTAGAGTAAAAGGTATTCATAAGCTAATTTTGAAATAATTTATCTCGATTAATGAATACTCCTGATTCCCAGAATATATTGCAACTATTAAAAATGCGATTATTTTAATAGCTGTTTCCACTTAGTAACATTACTTCACGAGTTTGGGCGTTTAAACTACCTAGAGACAATAAAATTTTAAGTATTGATTGCATGCAGCAGACAGCTATTAGAGGTTATTACCTCATCTTTAGGAATATGTAGGTAGTAGATGGGTTTCTGATTTTTATATTTGCGTCAAAAAAAGTTTTTCCTAAATTTCAAATCATATTTACCAACTGCAGCCTACCTGTTTTGTTTAAAGGGTCAGCAGTTTTAAATATCGTCGACTTCTTTTAAGTTACTTAAATTCTTACTTTTGTGGTTCTATGTAGCCACCTTACCTACACATAAGTATAACAAAGATGCAATAAAATGGGCATTAGATAAAGGGTCCTAGACATGAACATGAACAAAGTAAATCAAGAAATTTAGACAGTCTTCGCAGGCTTTTGATTAAACAAATACTACAAATACATTTTTAATAATATCATTACTGCTATCACTGTTTCTTAAAAGCAATTATGCCTTTATCTGTCATATGAATATTCATTTATTATATTTTGTCTGACTGCTTACTCTTACTAAGTATGATTTTTAGATTTGCCGATGTGTCAGGTCATTCAGCTCCCTTCAATCAGAAATAGCCACATTCAGATTTTGGGTAGTGGAGACATATGTTACAAAATCTTTATAATAGTCAAGTAGGTACTCAAGAAAAATTAATAGAACTTATTTAGTGGTGTTATTTTAATTTATTACAGGTCCACAAACTTCGGACTTCCTGAGGGTAAACGCTGTAGAAAACGACTGCTATACGGATGTTTCGGAGGCGAACAGCGATGATGAAGCCAATGAAGAATAAACAACTCAATCCATTTATATCTATTGAATGCAAATTATAACTTTTATTTATTCTGCTGTCATAAGTTAAGAACTTGTGCAATAGGGCTTCAAAATATATTAAAAGGCTTTAATATGCTTTACATTTATTTAAAGCCTTATCATGCTGTCATTTATGAAAATAGTCGCTTCTCGTTGTCTTGCCTGCCGTGATCAAACGATCTATTTTCAAATTTAGTGGGAATATAAGCTGGTTAATTTTAGCCTAATATCCATATTTGACGAACTAAGGGAGCAAACTACGTAGGACAACTGCGCTGCAAAGAGAAGGCAAACTAGAAACAAACCCTATACCGACTCGTCTGGCCAGCGTGGTAGGCCTAAAAACTCCTTTTTCGTTCTAAGGAAAGGCCTATGTCCAGCAGTACTACTCTCTCTACAAACTCAGTTTGCAATTCGACGCTGTGACAGCGCTGTAGTCGAATTTCAAACGAACTTAGTTTGAAGTTCGACGCTGTCGCACCGCTATACGCAAGGCTGTGTCCTTTGAGTATAGCACTGCAGCGGCTGTTGATGAGGATGATGATACCTATTTTTATTTAAGGGCTTGTTCATAGGACAGTGTTAACCCAACATCGACCATGAAGCAGAACCCAATTCAAACATTAAAATTTCGAGATCTATCGGAAACTGTACATGGGTAAGGCGCGTTAAGCGTAGCATAGCAATGTGCTGACTGACACGGTCCGCTAATATTCTAGTTGGATTGCATTTAAAAAACAAATGCGGTAGAGCTGTTGCCTACATACAGCTGCATCGATCATCACCATTCATCATACTTAAATATGTAACTCAAGTGTGGCAACTGGCAACCTTAATCATCCCTTACATTTTATGATTTAGAAGGATATGAAAATCTAAACGTTTAATTTTAATCTAAAAAAAATACAGTTTTGATTTTATGTTTTAATTTAAAAAGGATTTATACTTCATTTCACTTTGCGAATTAACACTTTATTTCACATACAGTCACATATAAATGTATCTACAATAAAAAAGAAATATACAATGTTCTGAATAACGAGATTTTCTTTCAACAAACTGTACTTATTAAATTTAAATAAAATTATGAAATTTTGATAATTGTTTAGTTTTTAAGAATTGGATTGGAATCGGTAAAATTAAATAAAGAAATAAGAAGCATCTTCAATTTGCGTTTGCGCATAAGGGTCATAAAAAAAAATTACGGACCATTTTTGACCACAAGAAAGAAACATGGTTTAAATTTTCAGTTTATACTGTGATGGACATTGAAAATGTATGCATTTTGCTTTTAAATTTCGCGGAAACATTGGCTTCGTCCTAACGTTGTGATTAGTTTTAAATATATGGCAGCCATTTGACAGTAAAACTTGTCAAGTTGTCACACTGTTCACTTTTTTTTTAACACGGCGGTGAAAATTGTCTCAAATATATATGTAGAACTTTGTGTTACACACTAAACCTTTTCGCCTTACGAGGATATACAGTAAACTGAAGAGACATTGTCGCTTAAGTCGCTTTGGAATTTAACTCTACATCAATTTCATCAATCTGATAGCAAAATGTTATAAAAAATTATAACATATCAGCACTTTTATATTAATGAATCCTTCTTCACACCATACATTTAACCACTAAATAATATTCTACTCTGATACATACAAAATATCTTAAAACTAAACTAATTTAATAATAGGAAAATGTCTATGTACTGAAAAGTCAAATTCTGGGGGCGTCGTCGAGTCTCGTTTGTGTCCTCCGGCTAATAACTTTAATACTATGAAATTCGTTTTGGCTACCTTCAGAAGATCTTGTATCTGAAAGGAATAATTGTTGGAATCAATTTTCATCAGTTGTCACATACATTGTTAGGATATAGTGAGGTAGAGTGGATCACGTTTCGAGTATATTCTTTGCCAATTTTTAGACTAACTAAATCTTGCCTAGGTCTTTTTTGCATTTGGTCAACACTAATTTGATTTTGGCAATTATAGTGTTATTAGAAGGCGAACATGTGCATATTATCTGCATTACACTGGACCATTGAAGTGCATATTATTTTCAGCTCCGTTGAGAATAGCAGTCTGAACATCTTAATAACTATTACTTCGCTTTTAATATACATTGAGTCACAGTTAGTTAATCGTGTTGTATTTGCCTACTAAGTTTTACAGACACTGTCGTGTGTCGACGCGGTTTACTTACTTCCTGATCGGGTGTGGTTACTGTTTCGAGTAGAGACCGAGCCTGTTGGAAGTGTTTACATCCACCGAGGTACAGTATAACGGGATTTTCATATCTGAAATCGATACATATTACATACACTTGTTTTTAAATATTTATCAAATATATTTTTTTAAACGTATATATTTGGGGCGTTTATTGTTTTCGGCAATAATTAGGTGAAATTCCTGAAGTTTTTCTTTATTGCAGTTATTAAATTTTATAGAAATTCTAGTAACAACACTGCCTCCATAATAATATGCGGAAGGTTCGAAAGTATCAGGGCTCGGTGGAATACAAAGGAAGCGTGGTCCGTACTGTAGAGGCTGAGTCATCTCGCAGAACTCGTGGTAGTGCACCTGCGGCGGCGTCAGCACGGCGAGCGGCGCGAAGCGGTGCTTGTAGCGCACCGCCTCGCTGTCGAACTCCGCGCCCGGCTGACGGATCTTGCCCTGCAGCTTGAACGCCACCAGCGCCTGCCACACCACCCACTTTTTATTTTATGGAAAAGGGGGAAGACGAGCAGACGGGTCCCATGAACGCCTGCAACTCAGGAGTCACAACGCGCTGGCGATACTAACTTAATCGACTGTTCGATTCTTTACAATATATGTACTCAACCCGGCGAGTACCGAGGTTTTTGCTCTAGAAGAGTAATTTTTACGCTCCTTTTGGTCACCGTTGGATAAAGTATTAATGATGCATTATAGTGAATACATTGAGAGCTTTTGTAGTGCTTTTCTTAACCTAGTACGATTTAAATTAAACTCTAATACCATTAAAAAACTAAAATCTATCTATCTACCGTTTACCGTTTTAATTTTTTAAATAGGTTTTACTACATTTCGAAAGTCATTATGGAGTAAATAGGTACTATTTTTACGCTATAATGACTTTCGAAATGTGTCAACGTTTTATCTTACACTAGCTTTTTTCTGTGCTCTAAAACCAACGAAATTTTGTCTTCCCTCAGGAATAGTGTTGGATGAAAATATCGCGTATAGATATACATACATGTAGCAATGGCAACGTGATCGGATAAACGATACAACAATGCTACAATACGAAGAAGCGAACATTAATTTATATTAGGTACTGACTTTTGCCCGCAGCTCCGCCTGTGTGTATGTTGGTTATCGAGGTAAAGAGTAGCCTATGTTACTTGCTGTAGCTTTCCGCTGGTGTTTTTTTTTTTTAATCATTTCAGTAATTTGGCGTGAAAGCGTAACAAACTCACTTTTACATTACATTAATCATATTTTATATCAGAAATCTATTGTATGTTATTACATTACATACAACAGATTTCTGACAGTAAATATGATTATCTTGTTATTTTCCATTGGACAGCTTTTAAAAGCTTCTATTTAACTTGCAATGTATGTACATATGTTTGTGTATGTAACTTTTGACTTCCTTTTATTGGCTACCAACTCAGTTAAATATTTGCCTCATGTTTACCACTCGTCAATATTTATATACATTAAGTGTTATTTTAAGAGATGCTCTAATTTTTTATACGCTCAGAAGTTACGCTGTCAATAACTACTATATAAAGTAAAAGCACAGACCTTATAGTATCCCCCGCACAGGTTCTGCATAACCTGACACAGCAGCCCTTCTCTAGCGTAGGGTCGCACTCGCTTCTTGGGCTTGCGTTTCCGAGAGTCGCGACTGTCTCGTCGTGTCGCGTCATTCGCTAAGCTCTCGGCTCTACCCAGTGCTGATACTAACCAGCCGTACAAGAATTCGTATAAATACCTACAATTAGAAAACATATTCTTTTGGTACTAAAGAAAAAATCCAAATAACATATTCATTGACTAACATTCAACACATACTATTTAATATTACACATACGTACATACATTATAATACATAAATACAGTATAAAAGTATATAAATACCTAGTATTACCTGATAATCAACACTAGTTTTCTGTAGAAGGCAAGTAAACAACTCACCAAAATATATAATGATACTCGTGGACACTGTAGAGTTCCAGTTCTAGCCCCGACAGTAGGTACGCGATCATGATCCTCAGCACGTGGTATAACACCCAAGTGCCGAAGCAAGCCCTTGGACCAGTTCCCGCCGCGCCACTCACTACCGCGTCCACACTCTCCGCCTGCAAAAAAATAAATATATGAAAAACAGATTTATTTCAATATTTCACATTTCTTCACAACTTAATTTAAAATCTCTTAGGTTAAACAGAGAGAGATTGGGTCTGTTTTTCCTCCCACAGTAAAACATAATTTATTAACATTCTTAAAGATTAATAAATACTTTTAAGACCGTGATAAAAATTTGAAAAATAAATAAACTTTATAGTACACTAATAAAGAATTCACTAAGTATAATTATTATTTACAGGCAACCTTTAGATTAACTAACACAATAGTAAATAGAAGAATTCAGGGGTAGTTTACTTGTATAACAGCTGTTACAGGAGATTTTTTTATTGTTAGCAACAAATAGCATACTTTAATAGTTTAGTCTTAACATAAAGATAAAATGTAGTTCCGTTTTTGTTTTCAATAACTTCCATTTGTCTAAAAATACAAATTGCAGTTTAGAGATGTGTGACATAATTCATATTTAGTCCGATGCAGTACCTCTTCCTGGAGAGCAGCAAATTCATCCAACAACAGTGCGAGCTTGTCTCGTTGCCGGGCGCGGTTGTGTCCGCACACCTGCAGCAGTACTGCAAAGGGACGCACGCAACGTGCTAGGAAGTTCTCAACGAACTCACGCGCCTAAAAGATTTAAACATATTAATAAATGATACTATATATTCTTAAAGAGTGTATAATTAGCCTTATTATCTGTATCTCTTTCTTTCGAAAGATAAATACAATTACGCTGAAACGCGGAATTTAGAAGGTGACGTCTGAAGCTAAATTTAAGACGGACATTTTACACTACTTGAAATTTAAACGTAAAAGTGTCTAAACAGATGTATTTCAAAAATATTTTTAAAAATAAGACCTCCATATCATTGCAGATAGACATACTCATACTTTGCACTGAGCGGCAATCGGGCCAAGGACCCCTGTTGTTAGAGTCGCTCCATCACTGTCCCTATTTGCTATATATAAAAAACATTATCAAGACAACTTACTTGCGGTGTAGAGATCATAGGTGACTTAGGGGTCAAGGCGGGTGGATTGACAAAATTTTTGACCGACTCCCGGAGTATTTCAACGAAGGCGTGCTGCGGTCGCGGCTGCCCGGGAGGGGTGTTCATCGCACTCTGCGCCATCGACGCGGTCGTCGCTGGCGACGGACTGAGGTACAGCAATTGGAGAGCAGATCTCGACAGTATACATGCACGCTGACGACTGAACTCCATAAAGAAATCCTGTCATTTTGTAAATTACTTTCGTTACATGACTGTAATTGGATTAAATGTACTCATGCCAGGGCTATGTCAAAACAAAGGTTATTAGAGGTGTTTTTCAGGGTGTAGTGTCAAATAGTATCTAATGAAAACTAAAGCGATCAAATATAAAGTTTAATATTGTAATATATGAAGATTATCCTCATAATGGAAAACATTAAGCAAAAGTTAAAAAACAATGTTATTTGTTAGTTAGGTGCTCATAAATTATGTAAGCAATATGTACATAAAATTAATTTTTGTACAAATAGTTTCCTCTGAATGTGTACTGAAAGTATTTATTTTTATTGTGATAGATACCAGAGCGGTATGAAAACTGGCGCAGGATGTGATCTTCCAGGCGTGTCTTAGCCTGGCAACTTGCTCGTCGAAGTACTGCAGCGCCTCGGGCCGGGGCTTGATGCGAGTGTACCGCGGAAAGGTTGGCGGGAGTAACCGTTGGTTTATCATCGGTTCAAACCCCATTGGATTCGGGGAGTCAGCTGAAATTAAATAAATACAAGACTAATTTGAAATTCCGTTACCTTACTATAAAGACAATATCGTCATTCATCAATAGTTTTCATTCAACAGATTCACACTAAAGGTAAAGTAGGTAGATAGGCCGTTGGATGAGGGTAGTATGGGACCGGTTATTGTGGTGAATCTTTGGAGAAGCCTGTATCCAGTAGTCTTGGGTAGTACACGTACGATGTACTGATAGGTACTAGTACTGGGTATTGTACTAAAAGTAATGTTTCCGAAAGGCAGCTGTTAATCGGACATTTTGCACTATTAGTACACACTGTCAACTTCAAGCGCAGTACTAAAACTATCTATTGTTTACTCTGTCTACTAGTGTCTACGTTCGTTCGCTGTGCGACGTACTATTAATGCTCCGCTTTATTGTTCTGTATTGGTAAACAGTGTGAGAGTAAAAGAGACAGCGATACAGGATGTACTACAATACGTTGGGTTGTAAAGTATGAAGGAAAATCAAATAGTACCTATGCTTAAAAATTTAGTGTAAAGTAATCTAAAAATCGTATTTAAAAGTCAAACTGTTAAGGTTTATGTTATTTAGAAAGGGATAACACATTAAAAATAATCAAGAACTGTTTAATTATTTCTATACTGAAGAAAAGTAACTGCCTAATACAAAGCCATCCATATTAAAAAAATAAACTATAACACTTTTTTTTTAAATTACGTATTTTAATTTATTTAATTATTAGTATTCCGTTTCATTAATGTTGGTAATATCAATACAAACGCTTAAGTTTTCTACTTCTACTAAAACTGTACTAATAGTACTATTACGGTGTGCTAGTACGTTGTACGAATTGTACTAGTACGGTGCGAACCTGCAGATGTCCGATTAAGCACAAGACTAGTATCCAGTAGTGGACGTCTTTCGGCTGAGATAATGATAAAATGCAAAATTCAAAGCTTTCCGATTTCATATTTTCTTGAAATTTAGACTAATTTTAGTATTATTCAAGTGTTCTTATTACTTGTTGTCAATAGAAATAATATGGACAACTTACAGTTTTCTACTGGTTGTGTTCCTTTCCCCGAAGTTCTTATAATAACCTTCATCATGTCAGAGCAGCCATTCAGTAAAGCGACGCAATCGGCTCCCGACTGCGAGTCTTTTTTTGTAATCAATAGAATTGCTTGATAGTACATTCTAGTGAAACGTATACGCGCTGCAAGTGCAATCCACAAATTGTCTTTATCCTAGAAATATAAATATATTACTGTCTTTTGTGTGCAGACACTTCCAATTATTGTAATTTTATTCAATTAAACTGTGAAGGTTGCTTTTGATGGGACGTATTTTTAAAGTAAAGTAGATAAATTACACCCAGACAATGAAAGAGGAAATAAATGCGCATTCCACACAATTATTTGTTCCAACAATTCGACGTCTGGTTCTGGAACTAGGGTCACTAACCTCTAGACACACAGGCCAATCAAGTATAATCACTTTTGCAGTATCCATACCAGTATGAGTCCAGGAAATCATCATTCTATGCATTTTTAAGTGATTCAGAATAACATCTACATACCTCTTCCTCTGTACTTCTAGCCTTCTTAATAAGTTCCTCTCCTTGTTCTCGGAGCATTGCAATACACTTTTGTTCACTGACTTTATGGCTTGCATCATAAGTCTCACCTCCCTGTGGGTTTGAACCAAGACGATACCCATAGCCCATAGGTTGGAAATCTTCTTCTTCAAACACTTGGGCCCTGTGGGAATAACTTAAATTACTATTCTACCTTTAATGCAACCAAATATAAAACCAGCACATTGTCTACTTGTGTTAAATGGTTCTAATATCTTTAAACACTCAAAATTACTTACTTTAAGTGGGTTATTTTTTTTTACTTATTGTAAAGACTGTTACTCTAATCTGCTTGCTACCATTTGTTAAATGGCTGTTCTGTGCTCTGCTTGCCTTCACACCATTTATTTTTACTATTACATAATTAAAATCAATTTTAGTAAAGTAGTGTAGGCAAAGTTCCTCTACAATTTGTATTGAATGAAGTATTTACATTTAATATTACAACTTACTTGTTAACACAATCCCTGATACAATCCAAAAGTTTATATACAGCAATACAATATGCTTTCAATGTTTTATTAATGATGGAGTGTGGTTGATGGAGATATAAGTTTGTGAATACTGTCTGGGCAAGTGAATGCCCCTCGAGCCAGGATACTATACAAGCCATTGTGGCATCTATGATACCTATCAACTCTGCAGGTTCCAAATCATCTATTTTTAATTTTCCAGCCTGTAATTAATAACATAATTGTCTCAAAACCAAATTTAGAGAGCATTGGACTATGAGTCAATGCTCATAATGTATTGCCACACAATTGCATGAGTTGTTAATTGTATTTTTGTATTATTATTTTATTACAAAGACATTAAATCACTATGATTAGATTGATTATAAGTTACAGCTTGAACTGTATGCCTCATAAATGACTTGATTCAGGAGAGCATGCCATGTATCATATACAGCAAGCAAAATACTTGACAAGGATCGCTGGGTGGGAAGATAACATTCTTGTTTTTGATTAAATTATTAATTTGGAATAGGTAATAACTTAAAAACTATTCCCAATTCTAAATGTATAACTACATTTATTTGAATTCACAACAAGCCTTATTTTTTTTATTTTCTAATTTGGCCCAAAAAACGACTTAAACAGAAGTGACCAATATTGCAATTTCATTTATTTACCAGTTTTTTTGTCACAGACACACAAGTGATTTTACAGGGGTTTAAATTTGGGGTCCTGGTGACCTGGGACCCAAGCAAATCGTTTATGTAATCAGTTATTTCTTAACTGATCGAATTCTAACGAGTTTATAAAATAAATTGAATATATTTATTTGGATTCAACAAAAAAAAATCCTTTAGCGTCTGACACTTTGTTTCCATTGTTTAATTTAAAAATCAAAATGAAACACTTACGTCAACTGCTTGTTGAAAATTCAAAGGCTTAGGGTTTCCACGGTTGCAGAGCATCCCAGCATCCATTTTTGGATCCATCATCTCAATAGCTGACATGGCCTCAAACAGACCAAACAGATGACCATCATGTAACAACTCTCCTATTTTAAGGTCTGAAATAACAAATATTTCTTTTTATTTATTATTTATAATTTGGAGGACCTACAGCTTTGACATAATATTTGTATAACATAAAGAATTGGTCCGACCAGGGCATCGAACCCGAGACCTCAGTACAGCAGTTGCATACGCTACATATATATAGCAGAGGCAGTATAGTTACATACCATTAGTTGAAACAGTTTATAAATTAATTGAAAATTAGGTTTCACGAACTAACAAATCGAAACAATGAAAGCACATGGCCCAGGTACTCTCTGGAGTAGGGCGGTATCCGGTTTTTTTTGGTAGAAACACCACATACTTTTTGATCCAGCATCCTTTGGAAATCTCTTTGGATCTCCTGCATCCATCAAGGAGCAGGAGATCCGATTTTCCACCCCATCACCAAAAAATTAAGTATTAACTAACAAAAAACAAGTTGCCTATGATACCTAGTTTCATGTTAGACTGAATTACTTACTACAACTGCACAAGAGGTTCCACATAATAAATTTAAAAAGTACCCATAATCCACTGTTAAATTAGGCCTCTTGTAAAAATACTAATGCTTAATACATGTCCAACAGTTTAAATTAGTATACAATGAAGTAATTTTGTTTTGTTATTAATAAGTGCTTACCTTGAATGTGTTTAAAAAAGTCTTGAGTTATATCAACCCAGTTATAGATAACTTCTGTAGTGGCCCCCGAAGAATCCATTGTCCTATTAATTAAAAAACTCAGGCACTTGGTTTATGAACAATACACGGTATCAAAACATACAATTCTACTACTTGTGAACTACCTGAAAGATCTACATAAATAAGCTGCATGCAACAGAAAGAAGATGGTATACATTGTATACACAAAAATTGAATTGAGATATTATCATAATTAATTTTTAAATTAATAAATTTTAACTTAGAATTTTACTATTTTGACAATATACTTATCTTTAATGTAGTGGCTAAACAAGAAAATATTGCAGTCATAGCTAAGCAGTGCATGGCAATTGCTGTTTTCGTGTTTTGGACTCCAAAATGTCACTACCTTTATTTATGACTCTTTATTATACACCACGCCAGTATTTACTTGTACAGGTATGGCCATCCATACCTGTACAAATAAATATCAATAAGCATATGTCCGTACATATAATTATTTATTTATACTATCCTATGCCAATTTTTGCAACTGTGACTGTTTGTTTTAGGGCTTTGAATTTGGTGTGTGCTCTGATGTGGCTTATCTTAGCACTGAAAGTACAGACACAGTGGGGACAAGCTAGCACACCATTAAGGTAATTATAAGTAATCTTAAGGGTGCTTTGTTTTTGAGGTTGTCTCGTTTGACATCGAGATCACACCTTTGATTGGTATTACAATAGGCGGTCTTATTGCTTGCCGCCACCACTTACAAACCTTAGTACAGATATTGTCAATTGTGATTTTGGGTAGAGTGGTAGAACAATAATACTATTCTGTTTTTGTTAGCAACCAATTGAAACTGTTTTAGGGCTTAGTAATAATCAAGATTGCAATTGGACATTTTATATACATATATAAGTCTAATTCACTAGGGAATTATGTCCAATAAGTATTCTGGTAATAATACATGTATAATGTATGACCCTTAATAGAATTTAACAGTGTCATCATCATCATCAACAGCCTTTAATAGTCCACTGCGGGACATAAGCCTCTCCTTAGTAAGGAGGTTAACAGTGTACCTTTAAATATAAATTATATTAAATGTAGAAAACTAATAAACAATATATTTGAAGATACAAAGACTAAAAATCTCTAAGTGGCCGGTATTATACGATAATTTACATAATTTTCGTTCGTAGCACAATGCATAATCACAACTTAGTAAAATACATTACTTTTAATTACCATATACGACTAAATGTACACAAGATTAATGCCAAAACACTATGCAACATGCAAACTATACTAACCCGTCACCATCATAATAATCGTCACTATCGCCCATTTTAAATTGCAGTTTAAAATCTTAATGGAAGAGAAATTAAATTACCATTGATTTTGAGGGTAGACTTCTTATATTAAGAAATAGATTGAGTACCGTAATTTTACAAGAAATGTAAATTCTTCACAACGCCTACACCACCTTCTTTATTTCTTTCAATTTTCTTTTGGCATCATCTGTGACTGTGACATCTGATCTGTCTATTCTGTCAATTTCTGTTTTTTTGTGTGCAAGTTTTTAAGGAATTTCATGATCTGGTTACTAGGACTTTTAAGCAGGGTTTTTTTTAAATCATTTAACACTATTCATACATTTATTATTAAAAAAATTGTCCTCAACGTATTTTTGAACATGTAAATCGTTCAGGGACATCGATAGTTTAACAATAATTGTTCTATTAATTTTGCCAGTGTAGGTTTCTGCAAGGCCCTAAAATTTCCTTTAAGTCCATTTTATAAAAAAGAACGTGTTATAAGAAGTTAGATTCAACTCTAACGATATTTTTAAAAATTATGTGTCATAATCAATTACGTAATGCTAATATTATGTGATTTTGATACATAATATTTGTTTTTCACACACCTGTAAAAGTGATTTCATTAGAAGGAACCGCAGTTTGTAACAGGAAGTTAGGGAAGCGCGCGCTATTTGATTCGATCAATGATGAAAATATTTTCAAACAAGGGTTTCTTTATAAATTACTAGCGATCCACCTCACGCACCACGCACGCACGGGTGCAATGTAAACACTACTAATGCGGTGTCATATACTACATGTCATATACTATAATTGTATTGTATGTTTTGTATTTATGCCAAAAAGAACCATCCAGCAAGCACTACTTATTTAAGTATGTATTCATAAATTTGCTCTGAATACTCTGAAACTATCTAGATAATTAAGAAAATGTGCATGAGGTGCCTTTTAACATTAACTAATTGATAGGTTTTCTCATATTCAAAAAAGAACCACAACCCAGGGATTTATTAATATAAATGAAACTATGTATTTATATTACCGTAATAATGCTTTAATTCACCAAGATATATAAATTATACAGATAGAGAGCATTTATTCGACGTTATATCACATTAGATGTTAAAATCCACCGTGGCTGGTCCATTTATATCGTCTTCTATTGCATCATTACAAATGAGACCGTTATAATAACTCAGTGCATCTTGGAGAATGAGTTGTAATATGGACTGAATATCGGCTAGTTTCGAGGGTAAAACTAGCTTCCCTGATGGCCACAGAGGAAGTGAATGCTCCGTGAGACAGCTGGTCTGTTTTAAAATAAATTGAGTTTGCGACTCTCTGGTCAGTCATATTGCTCAATTTATAAATTTTTATTAATACCACGATAATTTTTCTAAACCTTAAAACTTCCCTAATTATCAGTTTTTGCCATAACTATAACTGTAAGCGGGTTCTTCTTGTTGTAATCTTTCCATCAATCTTCTTTGCTGTCTGAATACCGCTATAAACCACAGATAATTTGATGATCAACAACAGTACTGTTAAATGCTAGTACTAACCTGAATGTATTTTAACAAATTAGTACCTAAACCATCGACAGTTTAAAAAAGTAAATATCAAGAGAACCTCTGAACCTCTGAGAAATAATTCTGACAGTCCAATTTTTTTCAAAATTTCAAAACGTTATATGCATAATGGAATCAGATACCAGTGGTTCTACTGTTTTACAAAATTTATTTATACATAATAGGACCAAACGCTTGTGGTTCCATTTAAAAAAAAGCTATTAAATTATGAATTTATTTTACTCACAACGATACCACAGAAACTTGGTTCCATTTGGTGTATTAAAAATAAAGGGTAATAATAGAAATATACGTAATGTATAATAGTACCAAGTATGTGTGGATCTGTTTTGCATAAAATAACATGGTAGTAATAGCGTTTATTTGTTTGAACAATCGAGTACCATAGTGCTGTGGTCTTTTTTGGCTTTATACGAGTATGTAATGATTGTTTTTGCTGTTGGTTCCTTTCTGCTTTTAGTACACCTTGTTTTCAAGGTAAAAATCATGTGGTTCCATTTAGCATAAATAGAGACAATTATGATAACAGGCCATCTTGATAATTAAATGCGATGTTTATCGGCCCGCTCCGTTCCTGCCGGCCGCTGCCACCCACAACGGTTGTACGGTCCAACGCGGCGACGGCCGCTTTGCCCCGCAAAAAGCAATTTTAATCTACATTTAATCTATCTAACGTATTCGAACAATACAGTATTATTCCTTCTCCAAAATAAGGAATAATATCGTATTGTTCAAAATAGCTTCGTAAACTTAAAATATCTTTATTTCATAAATTTGTTTGAATTCGTAACTTACCCATTTTTTTTTAATATGGGAAAGATAAAAATGGTTACTGTAAGTTATTCTTAGGAGACAGACTTAGGTATACCTACCATCGCCGACTTTATTTTATACTCTGTAAATATTTAGCCAACTACTAAATTACATCATTATTAGTATTGTACTAAATTACTCAGTACTGGAAAGTAACAAATCTAATTCTCGACACCAAACTAAAAGTTAAGCCCGACGCCCGGCTATACTTTTAGAAAATGATTTTGATAATGAACAAAATTATGAATAGATACACATACAAAACATATCTTTAAAGTAATTCTCGGTTGAAGTAGATTGTTATTACTGTCAGACGTCTGTCGGTCTGTCTGTTTTTTCCGGGTGATTACCCGTGATTCACAACGGCTAGACCAATTTTTGATAATATTTTACTACCAGGTAGCTAAGTATAAGGAGTAACTTAGGCTATTTTTCGTCTTAGAAAACCCTATAAAATTTTGTCTGGCCCGGGAATCGAGCCCGAGGCCTCATGGACTGCCGTCGCGTACCGTACTATGCCACTAATGCAGCGCTTTTCAAATTCCACGCGAACGAAGGCGCTGGAACCAGCTAGTTTCTAAAATATAAACTTAAAATAAAATCAACTTTTAATATCATAATACGCTTTTCCCATAGTATGAGTAGCATCAGAGTTACGAATTTATTTCACGATTACTTACTGCTTTTCGTTGGATTTTTTTTCTGTACCAGCAAGATGGTGCTCATTTTTTTGCATGCGGTGCTCCCCTCAGTTAACCCCTACCTGACGACCGGTAGGATGGTTATGTGGGACTCGAATCGACTAAAAACTCCTCGCTCTTTACGGTTTACAGATAGCCCTCTCGTGTGTGAGGACCACGCTGTTACTTTCCTTCTAAATAGTGCGCGCACTCCGAAGCCCGTCACGCCACCACCCCCTCCTTTCACCTCCGGCGCTTGAGCAGCCAACATGGTTCTCCAACGGAGTCCTACGTCTACTCATCATAGTACGTAGCTACCATAACTTTCCTAATAATACTGTCCAATATTCTCCTTTTTTTTTTGGCAATACATCTCATGCCATCTCAAATCAATTTCGAAAATCGTTGCCATGCTCAATTTCCAAAATTATAGAAACAATAAAAAACTTTAAACAAAAAACCTTTGCAAACCGGTTTCATTATTGCAAGGGATGTCCCTTGACTTTCAGTAGGTATTTTTGTTATGGTTAATACCTATCTATATCTATATAAATAAATAAAATTGGAGTGTCTGTTTGTAATATTAAAATAACCGCTTTTTACTAAATGCATATGTATGTTTACACGGTACATATGCCAAAATAATATTTTTTTCAATTTTTGTCTGTCAGTCTGTCTGTCTGTTTGTTCCGGGTAATCTCCGGAACGGTTGGACCGATTTCGACGTTACTTTCACTGGCAGATAGCTGATGACATAAGGCATAACTTAGGCTACTTTTTTTAGACTAGCTTCGCCCCGCGGCGTTGCCCGCGGTTATAACAACAAACGCGGGTAACACCGCGGGTCTCAGCTAGTATAATAAATATTAAATGTTAAGTTGGTTTGTGTACGCTTCCAAAATTCGAAACGTTCTGCACTGACTAGGCTCCAATTTTGACATGATATACAAACCGCTTCAAATATTGATTATATCTATTCTCCGCGTCAGTTTTGTTCCTCATCAATGAAACCACAATGTGCCACAGCCGCAGCGAACCGTAGTAGGGTACAGCTCATAGAGATATAAGCATAGAGTGAACAAGAGCCCCAATCTTGCAAAATAGGCAACGAGAGAGATGGATAATAGATAGATGCCTCTATCTCTTTCTAGTTGAGCTCTGTGGTTAGCTGGGTAATATGAAGGATTAATAAATAGCCAATCGTAGCTTTGTTAAACAGAGACAGAACTATCGGGCAGCCATCTCTCTCGTTGCCTGTATCGCTTCCACTTACAGGCAGCTGTACCCCATGTTCTCTCTATGCTTATGTCTCTATAGTACAACTAGTTAGTAATAAAAACCATCACACTCATTAAGGAGACAAGAAAAATCAGGATTTAAGACAAATAAATTATATATATTTAATACTATTGTTAAATATTGGAGACTTTGTGGATGTCACTTCAACTTCTGTAACTGGATCATAAACGTCAGCATTAATTTGAGGCGGTTCTGATTGGTTGTCGACTACAGAAGGAGATTGACCAGAACTACCAGGCTTTGAGAAGCTTATTCCACCAGTTCCCAAATCCATGCAGTCGAAATGTAAGATCTGGAAATATTCATATAAATGGTAGTAAACAATACTCATTATATGCTCGTTTTAAGTTCGAATTTTAATGATGATTTTCTTATTGAACGAATCGTCTAGTCCAAAACATTTTTATTTCGGATAGGAAGAATAAATAAAAATATCGTTCATTAGTGTTCATGTTAGTGTTAGTATTTTTAATCGTAACTTCTACATAAGAACTTCTGTTATATAGATGAAACTGCTACCAAGCTAGGTATCTAGAAACGTTACTATATGTGATTACAGAGAATTGTCAATTCGCGTGTTAGTGATGAGATTTTTTATGGGTACAGATAACTAATTTGTAGTCCATTAGGTAGCTCAGTGTTCAGTCTTTCATTCTTTAAATTCAATCTTTACAGTTTAGACACACCTAATAAAACTTAGCCACTAGAGGCTACAGCATGTACAATTTATTTTTATGTTCCCCTCGTTTTCCTAAAATAAGAATAACGAAATATATGATCATACGTACCACCACTGGCGCTTTATCAATTCTTGTATCCCAGTCCATGCAGACATGCATCTTGTTCCAATTAAGAGTAACGTCAAACAATCGGATACACATGTCGAGAAGAGGGATAGGCACTGATGGTATCGGAATAGGTATGCAAACTGGTGGGGGATTGGCCGCTAAAAATGAAAACACATGATTATAATTAAGGTTAAGTATCAGGTAAGGATAACACTAGGTAGTGTCGAGAGCATTCAAAACATGTCTCTCATTTAAACTTCTTTTAATCTGCCCTACTTATCTATCTAAATATATTTCATTAAAAAGGTCCATGAGCTAAAAGACAAGTAATTCAAAGTAGTTTACTTGAATAGTTAACGTACAGCGTTTTCTTTTTGTTGGAGTTTCCGACCGACAGTTTTAGATTATGATCGTGCATATTAAAATTTTGATAAACACTTACACTCCATTGAAGCTTTCTTTACCTCCTAAAATATATATGTACCTGCACGTTAAAATATAAAAAACAATAGTACCTGAGTAGGTTTTATTAAATATGGTCTCGTTACTCATTCTCACTTCCAAGCCCAAAAATCCTTCAGCTTGATCAAAAGTCAGTACGGCACAAGCTGTAAAATTTTAAATAAAATGTTTAATCGTCACAGCCTCTCATATCTCACCTAAGCACTCTCTATATACCTAAAAAGTTATTATTTTTGACTGAGCTGGGCATTCTTGAAGAAGTAGGTATAATGTAGCTAAATTAACTGTTGCATATACACCATTAGGCTTATAGTTTGAATATGTTTAGTTTAGGGTTTATATTAGTACCTACTTGAATCTCAGTTGTCTACATTTTTATGAAAGTTGAAAAGAAATAAATTTCTAAGATGTAAATGATTCACCTGTAGTTTTATCTACATTTATTTATATAGTTCTCTACTAAATAGCATTTCAGCTCACTGATGTCGTGATGACGTGATTATAGTTTCAGTTTAGATGTCAATGATATTATATACAAACAAGAAGTCGATACGCCACCAACGCACAAGACGTGAGGGTCCTAATTAGGACCACTGCGAGCAAGCGCACGTACTAATTAATTCGAGAAAATTCATAAAATTCTGTCCTGTCTATTCCGAAAGTGCACATATTAAGAAAAAAAAGTAAATAAAGATAAAGGAATATCATATCATAGGCAACTGTTTGGTTTCTTCTAAAATCCATTAATAGATGTATGTACGGTTACGGCACATATATTTTGTGCGTGCAGTATCAATATAACGTATCTTTCTTAAAATCTGATTGTTAGATGTACAAGACTATATTTGACACAAACATGTGGGCGGCCGCAACCTTAGTGATAAACAGGGGGAAGCCTCTGGCCTCCCTCAGGATAGAGCCTAAATGGGTGCGGTGTCGATCCGGGGGGGGGGGGGGGCTGAAATCACATGGTCCGGGTAATACACGGCGCATAAGCCCGGCCTACTCCTGCGTCTCCAAGGAGCCAGAGATCCGAAGGGATTTTCCACCTCGTCTACAAAAAAGAGCAGTAAATGTTTATACGAGTATATTATATTTTAACATGTTTTACTAACTTTCTTTATTGAAGCCGAACTTAGGAACGCGCATACCGGAACAACAGTTACATTTGGAGGTATCACAGTGACAGCTGCCTCCTCTGAAGGGTAGACGCAGTCGCCAGCCTGGTTGATACCATGGACGAGGCATCATCTTCTTTATAGTCTAAAAGTACAATCGGATAAAACTTGCATGTACCTACTAAAATTAAATCTAAAATATGAATCTTTTTTATTCTACGCAGACCAACTCGCGGGCTTCGGCTGGTTTTTTATAATATTGTAATTTTGCATGCTATTAATGTGTATGCATTGTAGTGACAGTAAACCTACAAAGCTTATTTTTATATAGTTTTAACTAAAATTCTTAGTGATTAAATAACGGCTCTTTCTACGGAGAGGCCTATGTTCAGCAATGGACTGTTATTGGCTGTTGATGATGATGATAATAAAATGTTATCGATATCCCGATTTTCTACTAAGTTTAGTTATAAATGGATTATTTTAATAAAGGATAATTAAGCTCAATTAGTTGAATTGAAGGTATGTCATGTCGTAAATAAGACCTTGAGAAGACATTTTTTTTTTCTATTAATTCTTAAGTGCACATAACTTTGCCCTTACTTCACTGCTATCCTCTATTCACTCTAAAGGTTCGTTACAAGAAAACTCAGATTTGGGTTGAGCTCGCCTTTATACATAACATTTCCTTGTTGAATCTACATTAATTATTGTGTAAAATAAAGAACAAATGAAATAAAATACCTAAACTTAAAATAAACTGTTTTCAAGTCTCGATGCCATACTAAAGGAGTATATGAATGTTTAAGTTGTAAAAATAAATTTATTAATATATTGGTATAGTCGCAGCCGTACCCTACTATGGACGGTAGATTAATGCATGTATGTAGTTATCAATTTCTATGACAATATTGGCAACAATGCTTTTACTTGATTTATCTCAACACGGATTTTTAATTTTAAAATCATTATCAGCAATTTAAAATTTAGATTTTTTTCCATTTCGTAATTATATCCTATATATGGTAACTACTTAACTAATGATAAGTTAAAAAGTAGCAGTTAGCAGTAGGAAACAGGAGACATCCAAATACTCGTATGCGGAACTGTCTAACAATTTTCATTTCATGGAGAAACATTCAAAATATGAGAAGGAGAAGGCAAACTAAGAACTATTATTACTCATAAATACTTACTGCATTTGTATTGAGGTCATAATATACTGAAAAATCTGTTACGTCCATACTATTGTCCTCAATGTTGTTTGGCAGTTGACGCCGGTCGGCAAAGCCTAAAACATCAAACATTTACAATATAAATCTATTCAACGTGTCGCTATAAATTTGGTGAAGTAACATTGCATAATTCGATAAAAAATCTCAACACTTAATTAAATAATAATAGCTAATTAGTCGTAATTAAAAAAAAAAGTAAAATCATTATCATATATTAAGTCACTATGCAAAATAAATAACTTACCGGACTTAAAGTGTGCAAATGAACACAACAGAACAAAAAACACTAAAGTTTTCGTTTTCATTTCGACCAAGTTCGTTCAACTCATGGACTGCCGGCTCTAGGGACAAAATTGAAGTGATCGTTTTCCGATACCCTATGTCTACTTCCAAAGGTAACAAAATATTTGTATGCAAGGTATGTAATGCTCGAGCGCAACTGACTTGCGGTACTTTCTAGAGAGAAACTCCTGCGCATCGGATCGATACGATACCACCACTATTCGGGTAATAAGATAAGTATTTTCACAGTAGATAAATCTCTTGTCGGAAATTTACTAATATTTAAATAAGCAAAACAGATATTGTTAATAGCATTGCGAATTCTGAATATCGAACGGTCGTCTACGAACAGACACCAGAACGTTGTTTAAAATACAACTTCATTCCCTTGATACTTTTTTGGAATATTTAAGGAGATAATATCGATAGGCCACTAAAAAGGTTTTGAGCACATATGCTTCTGGTCAATTAATCAGTTGCGTACTGCGACTGCTTACTATGCATATACCTTCGTATATGCGAACTATGCATATACCTTCGTATATGCGAACTATGCATATACCTTCACATTAATGGCTGATTCTAGATAAAGTTTAAATTACCATTTCTTACAAATATAGTTGAAATTAAAAAATCCTATGAGAAATACGTGTGGTATTTTATTACATTTTAAATTTAACATTGCGAAAGCCTCCATACATAAAACATAATATGTCGTTTAGTATGAAAATAAAAATCTACTAAATGTGTTGTTTCAGATAAGAACTGGTCACTTTTTTATTTTTCATTTCATAAACTAGAAAAAACTTATTCATAATATTATTCATTTTGCATGATTCCTGAAGTTTCATGTTCCCTGGCACACCTTTGTTTTAACAAGTACAAGTTACACAAAAGTCTATGGCATATCTTCAAAATGTAAGTCCCATTCAAAATGTCCATATCTCTAGTTTCGACGTAAACATTTGTTTAAAGTAGTAGTATATGCAAATATACTATGTATCAAATAACTCTAACACAAATCTTGATTTGACTCGTACCAACCAACCCAAATTGGAAGGCTCCAAGTTTGTCGTAGTTGCAGTAGACTGTTGCACAATATTCGTTCGCTTATAAATAAGGGTAACTTCACCTGACCGCACAGACAGACACATAGATCTAGACAATGATGATACCAGACTGCCTTCTTTTTTTTTTCTGTGCGGAAATCCCCTCGGATACCATTTACCGGACTGTCGGAATGTCGGACTCGAACCGACTAAAACCTCAAGCCGTCTCAGGTACCAGTAGTCGGGGAACCAGGTGTACCTTGATAGGAAATCCCTGGTACGTGCCTCGGACCATCTACGGCGGGTAGACGACCCCCCTGTGTGGGATACCCCATGTTCCCTCTCGGAACGGCGGGCGCGCTTTGTAACGCGCTCGCCGCCACCCCGGCCTGCTTCTGCTAGGGTGACAGATGGCCTCACCTGTCACCCCCAGGCCTGCGCTTATGGAGGACGGAGGTCGATCTGCGACCTCCGGTGCCTGAGTCGTCTGCCGTCGTCTGGTACCTGGCTTGTTCCCGAGCCTGGCGGGCTAGGAGAGTTCTAAACCTCTCCCGGTCCCGCTCCGCCATCTGCTTCGCAAGCATAACTTGCTCGCAGAAGGAGACAACAGAGTTCCACGCACTGTCGCTTCGCACGATAGCTGCAATCAGGTTATCGAGCGAGAGAACTCCTACTCCGATGGCCGCCACGAGGTCTCGCCTCTGCTCCACCCACGCCGGGCATTCTGCCAGCGTGTGGAGCACCGTGTCCACGCTTCGACCATCGCAGAAGTGGCACTCAGGCGTTGGCTCCTTGTGGATCAGACACATGTGATCCCCGAAACCTCCTTTCCCCGTGATCACCTGCGTCATTCGGTATGAGAGGGTCCCGTGATGGCTCTCAAGCCAATCCTCCATAACGGGTCTTAACGGCGTGCCCGGCGCTCGGTTGCCCAAGTCGTTCCTTCCACTCCCTTACGAGGACCCGGCGAAGTTGGGATTACCGGCCATCGATTTCTCGAGTCTCAGGACTCAGACCCAGCTCCCGCGCCTCCTTGCGCCACTGATACCATACTGGGGCCCCATAAAGAGCCATGGACCGCACAACCCCCGAGTAGAGTCTCCTGCAGGAGTCATCGGGTCCCTTCATGTTGGGCAACAGCCGCGACAAATCACGCGCTGCCCCAACTAACTTGGGGACCAGACCTCGGAAATGATGTCCGAAGTCAAATCGGCCATCGAGTACGAGCCCCAGACACCTAATCGAGGGCTCGATGCCGATGCGAGTGCCTCCAACTATCATGCTAGATCCCTCAGGTGGCTTCCTCCTAAGCATATGGAAGAATAAGGCCTCGGATTTGTGCAGAGCCACCTCGATACCCAACGACTTGGGCAACCTCGGCCGTGGCCCTCAGGGTTGCCTCACGGTGCGTCTTGCCGCACGCCGTCACGAGCGTGTGATACCAGACTGCTTGACTGTGAACTTAGCTTTATTCATTTACGGAAAACTATAGTCTTTGCTTTTTTTTCATTTAAGGCGCTCATTTTTATGAAAAAAACATTACGGTGTCGTAAGTTCTTAAATTAATTTTACATAGACTGAGGATTTGGGGTACCAGTTCAGTATAAAATTGCTTATACTATGTAAAGTACCTACCTAAGATATCATGGTATTTTCGCCGGGAATCTTGCACCATATTCTTCTAGTTTTATTAATGTAGCAGGGTATAAATAAAACACTAAAATATAATTTCAATAAATTAGTTTAAATATTTAAAAATAACGTTTTCTTATAGTAGTTCTTACGTTACGCTTTCTAAATAAATTAATTTAACAATGTACATTATACATATTTTATCGCATTTATGTAACCGATACAACACATATTTAGTTTTAGGTAAGTACTTCACAATATTTTAAGAGAGTTCCTCGAAAATTAGCTGTATTTGCAGTGTCAGGTTAACTGGTTTTTGTACTTGGATATTATGACACACGAGTTTATAGAATTTTATTAGCTTAAAATGTTTCCTTCTCGACAGTAATTACTTACTCAACGATCCAAAATGTGCCTTGGCCTCCAACATTAAAATAACCCATTCATTCATTCATTCATACAACAGTTTGAAGAGGAAATGACCGACGTGTCATAATTTCTTGATTACATTTTGTAATTCATACCTACAATGCATTTCTAAAATTGTTGTCAATTATGTTGTAACTTATCTAACAAAAGGACGACATGCAAATAAAATACATATATGTTGAGTTTTAGCGAACACAAAGGCAATCCGGAGCCTTACGCAGCTATTACGTCTTTTAGGACAGAATGCTGATTGGCTATAAATTGTTCAAAGGTTTAAAAGCGAATATCGTGATCTTGCCAATGTTGGCTAATTTGAAACACCTCAGTGTAGCCGGTGTTCATCCATCTTTTCAATGTAGACGATTCAGCTGCCAATCATGTATATTTTTAAAATTATATATCTTATTAATTTATAACTAAGATTAACGATCAAATAGATCACCAAAAAGTGATTTAACGACGTTTTCATCGTAATCTTCAATGTAATCTTCTCCGGTATCGACAACTGCATCCACCCCTCCTTGAGGATTTGCTATAGGGAGTCCGCCATTGTCTTGCGGTTTTACCATAGCTAGGCCGTTTGCACCCAACCTGCAACATTTTTTTTTTAAATGAGCTCTTCCTGAAATATAATACAGATGATAAAAGATGGCAAAAACTTAAAATATTGTTTCTTTTCATTTTAAAAATTAACACACGAATAATAATTTTATTTTAAAAGCAACTTCATATTTCTACATTAGATTGAATTTAATTTAATCAATATCCATTATTCAATAAAAAGTCATTGTTTAAGTATCATACAGCCCTATGTATAAAATATTTTAGTTTACCCGAATTTGACACAAACCCTTTTTTTTTTTAACGTGTGGAAACCCCCTCGGGCCGTCACCCCACCAGGGTTTACGTCGGGGTGGTGTGTCGGAATCGGACTGACTAAAACCACACGGTGTGCCACTCTGCGAGTGTAATAGGAGGGATCCGGGAACTGCTGTTATTAGAACCTCCGGACCCCTTCTAGCGCCTGCCCGCATACATTCTCTATTTAGGCGACGTCCGGCATACGCAGACGTCGCCTCCTCGTGGCTGGCCGTTATGGCAGGTGGAGGGGAAAACCCGTCCCGTCCACCCGCGGCCACACTCAGGGCGGCATGAGGCGGTGATAAGCACGCCTCCGCCGCCCGGTTCGCCGGCGACGGATTGGGTCCGAGCGGAGGCTGTCCTCCCGGGCCCTCTCCGCCGCCTCCTTCTGCGAGATGACGTCTTCGCAGAAGGATGCGACCGCGGTAAAACATCTGTCGCTACCGGCCATGGAGTGTATGACGGCCGGTAGCGAGAGATCCCCCCCGATGACTGCAATGAGGTCCCGGCGCTACGGCGCCCAAGCCGGGCAAATTGCCAGCGTGTACTGAGCCGAGTCCTCACTGCAATCGCAGTGGTGACAGGCGGGACTCAATTCCCTCCTAGCGACCGAGTGCAGGTACTTCCCGAAGCAGCCATGCCCGGAAAGAACCTGCGTCAGCCGGAAGGAAAGGGTCCCGTGCTGCCGCCCTGCCCACTCGACGATGACCGGCTGGAGCGCCTCCACGGCGGCAAAGCCAGCACGTGGAGCCTCCAGCCGGGACGACCAACAAGCCATCGTGGCTCGGCGAGCGGCCTCACGCCATTCGCTTATCTCTTCGGACGGGGGCCGACTGCCACTATCAGCCCGAAAACCAACCGTCCACCGATATACTTCGGCGAGCACTTCCGCCTCCAAGTCCCACGGGGGAGTACCAGCCAACGCGCACGCCGCTTCCGCCGAAACGGTGCGGTAACCGCGTATGGCTCTAACCACCAATATCCTCTGAGGTCGCCAGAGGCGTGCCCTATTCTGAGCGGTCAGAGCCGGTGCACCATACAGTGCCATTGACCGGACAGGAGGGGGTCCTATTTGACACAAACCCTATACCAACCCGTCTGGCCAGCGTGGTACAGTAGGCCAAAACCTCCTTTCTAAGGAGAGGCCTATGTAGAGCGGTGGACTATTAAAGGACTGTTGATGATGATGATGATGCGTGAATTTTCTAATTACTAGGATAATTAGTCCTTAACGTACATAATATTGTCTTGTCGGAGAAATTAATTTAAATAGGAAAAACGTATTAAATACCTGTTTTCTATTAAAATAATTTTAGATAAAGAAAACACAAAAACAAAGTTTCAATTGAAACCACTAGATGTTGAAGAAAATTTGTTAATAAGTTTAAATGCATGTAATAATGCCACGGGGCAAGTTTTTACTGTGTATTTAGGCCGTAACAAGTTCCTGCATATAAAAGAAACATTATTATGCTCGTACTCAAATGTAATGAAAATGAACTTTGATTATAATTATTTGTCAATTTTCTAAACATATGTGCAAGTCCGAACAAAAGCTGATTCTGTTCTATAAACAGTTTTCTAAAATCAGTATCGTTATGATTAGAAATGTACAAAAAATTCATGCAATTTTTTTTAGGAGTACGATATTTCACCGAATTATTGTATTTGATAATTAATAATAATAATAGCGCTGTGATGATTTATTGTCTCGTATCATGAATGCTTACAACATGCCTTTTCAGAACATTATTTAAGTGTCATTAAATGCTTGTTTTCCTTTTAAAATATGCCTAGTCATTTCATAGTGTTATCCAATAGAAATGTTTTATGCCAAAATAGACTGACTGGATGACGTAGATGTTTAAACGGTCACTTCGCCGCTTCCTATTACGCTAAGTGTTGTTGATCCACGGATAGCACTCTGTGTAATCAATAAATTGTTTTACTGGGTCTGGGTGTTCTTTGTGTCCGTTTGAATTAATGTTTGTAAAGCTCTCCGCGACACAGGATATATCCTAGTACCTTATTAAAATAAAAAAAATAATTACCGAAAATTAAACATCAATTAAATGTATTGGAAATAAAACTTATAGTACGTACCGGAGGCAATCAAATGCGAAATGAAAGAGTTCAAGTGATCGCCAAGTGCCACTCATCGCTAAACAAAAGTGAAGGTTCCTTCCAGGGAAGAATACATTATAAAATTTTGCGCAGACTTTCAAATTATTTATCCTGGGTGGACTAATACAAATCGGTCGTGGGTTTTTTCCTGAAAATAAATTTATTTCACATTCACAATATGTAATTTCTAATAAATAATAATAAAATATATATTAATTTTAACTTATGTTCGTACTTATTAACCGACTTAAAAAACACAAAAGAGGAGGTAACAATTCGGCTGTATTTTTAAAATAGACATCTTTGATAATACGTCAAATAATGTGTATAACTCGTTCTTATATATTGTTAAAACCTTGAATACCGATAACTTTAGACTGCGAGTCTAGGACCCGCCTATTTCCATATAGTTTTGATCATAAACAAAAATGCACTTACCTGACAAAGAATTCTCATAGAGTACTCTATTATTTAAAGACATAGCCACATCGAAAGCAAAATCTCCAGGGTGATATGTAACTCGCATACAAGCTTTTTGATTTAACAAATCCAAAACGTAACCGGTGCAGCATTTACAAACTCCCAATTGACATACACATCGTCTATTATTTGATGAACTGCTTGTGGAACTCACATTTCCTTGATTCTGTCTTGGTAAAGGTAGTGAACGAACTAAAGATGCATTTTCTTTTAACTCTTGTATCATTAATAAGAAACTGTCTGGGACCTCTATGTCTCTTGGTTCTATTGTTTTGTTTATACCATGTTGAATAAATGCTGAAATATTATTTATTTTAATTATTTACATAACACAATGTAACTTTGTAAATTATATTTCTCAGTGTATTGCTGTCTTACCTCCTTCCACACATTTTTGACTGAGACACAAAATTGAAAACAACCAAATCACTACACACATTTTCTTAGACTAGTTTGCGTTACGCCTGTTTACGCTGACCGTCTGAACAGGCCCAACACCAGTGAACCGGTTCAACAGGGGCAGAGAAAGATGTCTTTATATTATTATTCGCAACTTTCACGCCACTTTAGAGACTTCAGTATTTAAAAAAAACCGCAATCAAAGTATAGACTTTTTATTTGTCTAAATAAATTAACATAATTTAATACTATAAAATACAATCAGGTACTCAAGAAATCGAAGATGTTTACTATTCAAAATCCAAAAAGTCTCCTATTGCATCACCGAACCCGTCGAAAGGCCCGTCGTCATTGCTGGAACTTTGCCCTCCTATTCCAAATAAGCCGTTTTCAAAAACTGAGCCCACAGTATTCCCTATCAAGCCTCCCACATCGTTGTCAGGTTTGTCAGTATTACCAAAGAGATTCACAGGCTTCGGGCCCGATGAAGATACTGGTCTGGGTTTTTTCCCACTCTGTAGACCTGAAGCTCCAAGGCTAAAAAAAAACAGTTTTTCCTTTGAAATATGTACGATACTTTGTTTATAAGCAGATAATATAATTTTCTTAACCACTTTGATGCAATATCGAATAAATTAAATGAGATTTCTACTTAATTTCTATACGTATAAGTTGACCAAGAAATTTATTTGTTTTACCTCCGTTTTCTAAAGTAAAAAAACATTATTTATTTATTTAGTTATTTGACATGATATAAACTTATTTTATCGCCAGTATTCTTAAGAAGAAAGATCTTAAGAGACAGACGTATAATTGAACAGAATATTCTAAATAAACCTTAAAAACTGAAAAAAAGACACTCGTGTGAAAAATAAGATTAATGTCTCATTATTTATATGAGTATATTATATTCTAATGAATATGCTTACCTAAAACAACGAAATGGGGCTGAGAAAATGGGAAAATCTGCGATATTTGCATTGATGTCAAAACAAGCGTGTACATTTTTGTTTCTTATCTGTATATTCGAGATTTCCGCACACACTTGAACAAATGGGGCTCTTCTAGGGTTGAAGCATATCGGTGGCGGGTCGCTAGCTGAAATGACTTTCTATTACTACCTTTGTCACGAACTATTGTATACAAATTACTTACAATTTCCTCGGAGACAACTACCTTATCGTGTATTCAAAGAGTGACATTGCATTACAAAACACTGGAAAGTTTCATATGGAGGTGTATAGGTACACAATCTCACCTGAAACTCGTCTTCTTACAACAGTTCTATTGTTCACATTCAATTTCACATCAAATACAAAATCTTCTGGAACAAAAGTAATGTTGCCGCATGTTTTCATCCTAAATCTTTCCATTAAAGCTCCAGTACAGCAGCCACAATGTCTATTTCGGCACTCACATGGCAATCTTGTTACTTGTCCAGGAACTGGTGGTTCTTCAGTTATTATTTCATCTTGCAGCACAGGACTTTGTGTTATTGAAGCAGGTGTAGTGGGACTGCTTACAACAGGAACGGGATCATCTAAACCAGGCGTAACTTCAGTGTCCACGGTATCCACATCTAGCTCTGGGGCTTCATCGTCCACTGCATCTTCGTCTTCTTCATTACTGTTATCTTGCACATCTATAGGAATAGTTACAGTGACAGATGATTTAAGCACAGGCGTAGGGTGCAGCGCTTTTTGCCAAATGTCTCGAGGTATTTTAAACTTTATGATTTCGTACGGTTTGTGACCTGCAAAAGATGTGCATAGTAATAAATAACCGTAAATTAAATTTTACTTCCTTAAACTTTATATAAAATTACTAACTATATCCAATTGAATAAGTGGTTATTACTAATAGTAATGAGAAAAATAAATAATGGCCCATTTTTTTTAAAGGTGGAAAATTGTGACCAGTTATGCCTGACTCCTCATTACGAATTGTTGCTTTATCAGTTCTACAAGACTATTTAAATGTCGACACTACCATCCCATGTTTATTTTAGTAGTACAGACATCGATAGGAACAAGTTTTAAATTTTAATGCCACTGCGAGAGAAAGTTGAAATTCACAGCTATTATGTAGCTGACTTTCAATACACGCGTCTTGTGTTGTAAATAATTATGATCATTATTATTATAATTTTATAATATGAATAGTCTAATAGGATCATAAAATATATAAACTATAACCAGGTAATGATATTAAACCAATGTTATCAATAGATAAAGTGAACTCTGGTTTGTTTTTGAGTAGAAATTGATAAACATGAAATGATTATTATTTATTAAGAATATATTGAGTGCAGTGAAAAGATGTTACTTCAAAATCTGATAAACGCTGGATTCACAATTAACATAAAATTTGCATGACATAGAAATAGATAGCCGAGCCATTCAATTATTGGCAACGGCATATGACAATTTTTCAGATGTAAGCCAGTTCATGTGTCCTAAATATAAGTAATTAATTATTTTAACTTTGAATGAAAACGAAAGACTAAAATTAACTAAAATTCTCTTAGCATCTCAAGCCAGTCAATCAACATTAATCTCCTGCGACATATACTATGGTATGAGTACACAAACAGATAAAAAAATAGTTCTGATATCTTTACAAATAAAAAAAATCAAAAATAATTCGGTTAATAAAAATTGTGAGCCTAGTAATGTTTTTTTATTAAATCATTGTATCTTGACCCATTGTGAAACAAACATAAGTTTGACAGTACACTCGTTTTCGTTTTTCAACGCGATTTGTTTTTCGATGAGAAAATTACGTATCCATTGCGAAACAAACATGCTAGCTTTAAGGTGTTCATGCAGGGTGGTGACAACTGCCTGACAATCTCCAGTTCATCCTGATCCAGTTCATTCTCCCGCAATAGCCACTCTACCCTGATGATATTAACATGAGTTACTTACTACATCGGTTAGGTCAGAAATCATCGTTCAGTTTCTCTCGACCACGTTTAAATATACCAAACTAATAAGCAACTGTTGCCAATGCAGGAGTAAACTCCCCAAATTCTGCTTCTAAAGAGATTGATTCAAGGTTAACCCCCATTAATCATAAAAAAATCATAGCATGAAAAGCTTTCCGTCCATTTTACATTTTTTGTTATTTTTATCTTTATTTATAATTGCGGACATAGTATGATACATGCCCGTCCCACCGTACCGCATACGAGAAATAACTAAATTACAACTTAACTCAGTTAATAATAATCTTAAAAACATAACAAAAATATTAAACAAAAAATATTAAAAGACGGGGTAAAATAGGGTCAAGGTGAACTATTTTAACATATTTAACATAGGTACACCTCGAAAAAGTCAGAGATACCCTAAATATCTGTCCAGGCTTATTGTGGAGCTGTGGAGGAGTGGAAGGAATGACTTGGGTAACCGAGCGCTGGGCAAGCTGTTATCGCGGCGGTAAGACCCTTTATGGAGGATTGGCTCAAGAGGCATCACGGGACCCTCTCATACCGGTTGACGCAGGTGATCACTGTGAACGCATGCTTCGGGGATCACCTGTGTCTGATCCGCAAGGAGACAACGCCTGGGTGCCACCACTGCGATGGCCGGACCGTAGACACGTCGCTCCACACTCTAGCAGAATGCCCGGCGTGGGTGGAGCAGAGGCGTTACCTCGTGGTGGCCATCGGGGAGGGTAATGGCGCGACGCACTACGCTATGTTCCCTTCTAAACAGGAAGGGAACATCCGGGTTCCCATACTGGAGGGGTCATCTAGAAGCCGTAGATGGCCTGAGGTACTTCGGGGTACTAGGGCTTTCCTTTCTAGGGTATACCTGGTTCCCCGGCTACTGGTACCTGGAGACGGCGTACGGTTTTTGGTCGGTTCGAGTCCGACATAATCACCGGATGGTATCCGAGGGGAGTTCCGCACAGAAAAAAAAAAAAAAAAAAAAAAAGGCTTAAACGTGAACATTTGCGTGATATATTAACCTTTAAATGTGGTTTATCTGAAGGTTTAGACTTAGAACGTTTAAAGTTAGCTTTAGGTGAGTCTGCCCCTTTTAGGGCAACCATTCTTAGACAGTTTAACGAATTTTAAAGGGGGAAAACTAGACTTGAAGATGATGACAAAAGTGGACGGCAGGCAACAGCAGTCAAAATGTGTGGACTCTTCAGTAGTCCGAGTTTTCATGCTTGTGCGCGATAACCCACGAATTATCAGTTCGGTTAGTGTTCACGCCATATTACATAAGCAATTTAGAATGAGGAAGGTTTGTTGACGTTGGATACTTTTTTTTGCTTTCCGAAACAGAAAAAGAAATTCATGTCGAATGATGCTGTAAGATGCGTCTACGTTTTGATCGAGAAAACAAGAAGCGTTCCTCCTTATGGGTGTTTCTAGATGGCCCATTGTCACCAAATTGCAAAGACCAAACATTGACAAAAAATGGTGGCCAGTTTTTTTTTTTCACGGAGTGGACATCTTGCAACATCAATGCTAGAGAATTGAAAGTCTGTCAACTCAGAATAGTACACTACAGTCGCATTGCCAAAACTTTTCAAAGCTGTGCAGGAGAGACGACCAGAGACCGGGCTCCGGCGAAAGATACTGCACCACGACAATGTGTCATCACACTCCTCCCTCAGAACAAAGGCGTTTATTCAAGAATCGGGAAACTCTACCTCTCCCTAACTGATGGTAACAATGTGATTGGTCGGTAGGATTTAGGATCATGAGGCGGCTTCGACAATGGCTTTTTGGTACTAAGTATACGGATATTACCGCGGCGTCAAACACGAGGAAATATTCCTTCCGCAATGCAACGTTTAAAAACAGTCAAAATCGTGTCACCCGATAGTTCTTTCATCATTTTCTTTGATATGTTATTATCACCTGAAGCCTTGTTTAGCAGCAAGGATCTAAAAACACTAAGAAATTCATCTGCAGATGGTACGTCAGACATTGGAGACAGTGGTGGTTCTACGGTCATCTGCCTGATCTGATGACTCACAGCACGGATTCCGTCCGTCGCGTTCTACTGTAACAAATCATATAAAATTTGTTGACTATGTAACTACTAGGATGAGAGCGGGTTGTCAAATTGATGCAGCGTATTTTAATTTCTCTAAGGCATTCGATCTTGTGGATAATGATATTCTGTTAGCTAAGTTTTCAGCCTTTGGATTCAGCCTAAGGCTTTTGGTTTTCATGGCTAACTACTTAAGAGATCGTAAACAGTATGTAAAAGTGGGCAACTATAGTTCACATGAGTACTATACTCGATCAGGTGTAAGTCAAGGTAGTACTTTAGGACCTACCCAGTTTCTTGTAATGATAAACGATCTTCCAAGCGTTCTCTCTAGAGCTCAATGTTTGATGTTCGCCGATGATCTAAAATTATTTTTATCTGTCGCCGATACTGCAGATTGTGTTGAACTACAATCTGACATAGACGCAGTCTACGAATGGAGTGTAAGAAATAAATTGTCCTTTAATACATCAAAATGTAAAACGATAACTTTCACTCGTTCTCGCACCCCAGTATCGGTGACGTATGCGCTAGCTGGCACACCTCTCGAGCGTGTCAGCTTAATACGAGACTTAGGGTTAACTCTTGATCAAAAGCTAAACTTCCGCGACCATATAAGGCAAATATGTAAAGACGCTAATAAAGCTCTGGGGTTCATTATTAGGACTTGTTCTCAATTTAGCAACACACAGCCTATTAAATTGCTCTATAATGCCTACGTACGTAGTAGACTGGAATATAATTCAAGAGTGTGGAGCCCGCAAGAAAAAATATACACCCTTTCCATTGAAAGAATACAGCGTAAATTTTGCCCGATACCTGTACAAGCGCGAGTATGGTATTACCCTTTCTTGTTTCCTTCTATGTTTGTATCAGGCATGGTGGGCCTTGATACACTTGAGCTTAGGCGAAACTTTAACCATATTGTGCACTATTTGTTGCTAATTCACGATAGGGTAGACAATCCATCAGTGCGTGAATGCATTAATTTGTATGTACCAAATAATTACTTGCGCGGTTGTCGTCGCCATCACCGACTCCTGACTTATCCTACAACGTGGCGTCTCCCACAAGCTGTTAGTAGCCCCACGGGAAAAGCTATCCAACTAATTAATGTTTTTTTGCAAAATAATGTAGATGCAGACATATTTTTTGACAGCTTACCCAAATTAATGCAAAATGTAATGATCTTTTTAAATACTCATAAATACCTATAATGTACTCTGTATAGCTATTAATATTTATTGACATCTTGTAAATTTTTATGACATCTTATTGCTTTAATTCTTTATTTCATGACATTTTATTATTTCTGTGTGATTGTATGAATTATTAATTATTTGTAATTTATATAAATAATTTAAAGTATTGTTTTGTATAATGATCTGTGGTCTGTATATCTGATCCAATGTAGTATAGCATATTAGCGTTTTGGTTGTGAGACTGTGAGCTTGTAATGTTACTTAAATAAAATAAATAAATAAATAAATCTGTCGGTGATGATCAGTGTCATTTGCCGGCCGATCGTCAGGCACTAGTGATTCTATACGATATTCTGCCGTTTATTTTGCTACTCCTGTTTTATATCTGTTAATAATTTTAATGTTCTGTATATAGTGTGTCCTAAAATTCAACGATAAGCAGGCACCAGATGGTGGACCTGCTTATGACTACTCGAAAAAAAAAAAGAAAATATATTTACCTATTTTTTAAATTACAGTAAAAAAATTGTTAACTCTATAAAATTGACAACCCTTATGATATTTTTAACTATCATGACTACAGTTTTTAAAATAATTCCTTAGTAATAGTACTGGTATCCATTTTTTTACACCCTGGCCACTTTCAGGGGCCGTGGTATAAAAAAAAAGTATGCAGACAATTTTTGAACAAAAACCAAATTTCATAAATTGATAATAATCACTGCACGTAATCAAAGTGATAGCAAAATAATTTTTATGTTTTTGAAAAATGTTAAACGAATAAAAAAAAAGAATTTTACATAACATTTTATTAATCTATTAAAATACAGTAAGTGTTCTAATTGTTTGCCATCGGCATTACTACAAACACGACATCGTCTTAAAAAGGATCGTTTTATTTTTCTTGCACATCTTCTACCATTGATATGATTTTTTGGCGAAGCTCGTCCAATGTTGTAATGGTTTTGATTAGGCCTTATCTTTGAGACAACACCAATGGTTTTAGTAGAAGTTCTAAACTTTTACTAAAACCATTGGTGTTGTCTGTTGTCATTGTTGTTGGGTTTAGAACAGGATGGCCATAAAATAGGATCAAGTCGTCCAATCTAACGCCCTGGATCTTCTTGATTTGAGTATTCTCGCACAGGACGGGCATAGTGAGCTGGGCAACCATCATTTTGAAACCACGTGTTTTGTAAATCACTTATGGGCACACCTTCCAATAACTCTGGCAAGTCATTTTGTATAAAGTTCAAGTAACTATTGCCATCTAAGTTTCCTCGTAATTCAAAGGGCCCAAAAACTTTTCTGTTTAATTTATCCATAAGTTAACCTTAAGTTTACATTGTGATTTGTCTTGTCTCATCAGGTGCGGATTTTCATTGCTCCAGCTGTGTAAGTTGTGAAGATTAAAATACCCATCTTTCTTGCAGGTTGTTTCATCCGACCATATAGCTTTATCCAAGAATTAAGGATCTTCCCTGTGCTTTTGTAGCATCACACGAAAAAATGCAACCGTGGTGGAGAGTCCCTCTCTAATAACGTTTGCATACGCCTGTAGTAATATAGGTGAAGCCTGTGACGTTTTAAAATTCGATCTGCAATACTTTTTGGGATGCCCGTAGCTGCTTCTATAGCACGTACTGAGGTACTCGAGTCATTTTCAATTTTATTGAGAACTTCCTAATCGCGATCCAATCGTGGTCTACCAGCGCTTCTCCAGTCAGATGGTGAACGACCCTCCAAAAACACTTGATGCACATTAATAAATACCCGATAATCCGGGTATCTTTGAGCATTTGGGGAACTTTGTCGATACAATTTGCTAGCTTTATCATTACATCGGCATTCTCCGTAAATGAGGTGCTTATTAGCGTATTTCAATTATGTGTATAGTAGTGGCATGGTTAATACTAAACAGTCCAAAATACACCAAAAGTTCAATTCATAGAACACACAACAGAGTCTAAAATAATGCCAGGTAAGTTCAGTTTGCAAATCACTTAATCCAGTCTCATAAAAATCAATCCAAAGTCGTTAGTACAAGAACTACATTAATTGAAAAGGGAACGGTGCACAGTAAATAAGGAGCAAAACGTACTAAATTGATGAAAACAGAAACTTCTCTACCTCAGTGTCCTATTGTTATTCAACAACGAACATCTATCTAACTATCTATCTCTCTTTAACGTATAAGTTTTCTCTCAATCTCTAAAATTTCTACGCACATGTCTCGTTTGAATTCCAAGAATTTGCAACTATTTTGACTGCATAGTAAAAGTGATTACGCTCAAAAACAACAATGTATGTTTGGTTATTGTTTAAAAATTGTCTGCATACTTTTTTGAGCTAGTGGTTAGTTGTTTTGTGGTAAGTTGAGTATTTTTTTTAAAAACTTGCCTTAGTAATGCCTATACTTTTTTTTTACACCATGATCACTGAAATTTTAGTGAAAATAAAAAAAAATGATTTTTTTTTATTATTATTTTGTTTTGTGTAAAAACTGCCGGCATTTTTTTTTCAAGAATTGTGATGGATAGCAGGATACTGTTCAGGTTGCCGATACAAAATAAAACAGGAATAATTTTAAGGGGTGTCAATTTTCTAGAGTTGACAAATTGTTTATTGTAATTTAAAAAAGAAAGTGTTTTTTTTTTGTTTTTTCCTTTAGTAGTCATAATCAGGTCCAACATATGGTGACGGCATGTTGTTGTATTTTAGGACAGCCTGTATGTGCAAGGTCGAATGATCTATTTGCCTTAAATTTATGATACATGACCATGGGCCCTGTCTGTCGAATTTATCAACAAGTTTATGAATTAAGTTTCCCTTAGATTTCCACAGCAGCTCTGTAGTGGGATCTGGCAACTCAAAGACCAATAAGAGCATTTTTGTACATATCTCCTGTTACGTTATGCTTTTTAATACCGTTTAGTTTTCTACGAGCTTGCCCGTAGCTTCTACGTAGTTCGGCTAATTTCTCATTCCGCCAATCACATCTACGAGTGTTCCGCGGCCAATAGACATATCGGCACCGTATATGATAGTATTTTGTCACTTTCCTCAGCTGACAGACTACTGCTACTGAGCTCTTTGGCGCAGCGTCGGACCATATCGGTTACACGCAACTTGCCATACCATAATGTAGATGAGGCATTGACATCAGCGCCAATGATAATTATGTGTCCCACGAGGGACTGCAACACGTAACGTATAATGGGTAATAATGTAAATGAGGATTTATAGATGTGAATATTAAAAAAAGCTGATGTTGTTGTTGTCTAAGGACAAAGTCTAACTTTTGTCATAAAATTAAACAGTCTAATTCTGATGTGACTATTTCATCGTTATGAAGATTTAACTGGCTTATTAAAGTATTATCTATCACTTACCAAGTTACTTTACAAACTATTCAGTAATTGGTATTTAGGATTAGCTGCTCTATTTTTAATTTACATGTCGGACAGTTCTGTGAGCATTCCGCTTATGCTGCTGTTCGATGCGAATTATAATAGCGGTTATAATTAACAAAAATTAAAAACATTTCATTTATAAAATTATTTACTAATCACTCATGCAAATAAATAATCTCATACATTTTGCTATTTACAACACACACAATAATAATTAATTAATAAATTAAGTAAGAATAAATAATATAATTACTTTGTAAAGCTATATAGATCATTTTGACTATGAGGTTACAGGTTGAATCGACCACTCGCCACGCATCATTTTATTCTGTCTTCTCCTATCTTTGTTATTTTTATTACCTTTGTCAGATTTATTCATCATTAATGTATGTCCAATTGCGTCAAAGAGGTCATCATAATCGTCTTTATGTTCTTTTCCTGGGCGACTTGCCAGATTTTTGTTATCTTTGTGCTTTTTATTTTTTCTAAATATGCCTAACTCACTACCCAAACTCTCACCAATTTTGCTCAAATCTAGAACATCCAAATCATCCAAGTTAAATTGCTTGCTTTTAGTCTTTTTTGGCGAGGTATTCCCTGTATAACCATCGCTGTTTAAATAACCAGTGTTGTATTTATGATCCCCACTTTCATTATCAGAATTATGTTCACTTTCTAATATCATGTCTTGCGATTCAATATTTTGCCCTACTGGTATAATATCATCTGTAACGAAATCCTCCTCAGAAAAAGAAGCGAAAGGTCTGGTTGATGAAGTTTTAGGTGTAATAGTCTGAACTTTTTCATATTTTATTTCTTCTGCGTTATTTATTACAGCTGATTGTTTACTTTCATCTGCAATTATTGGCGTAATGCCCGTAGGCATTGCAGATAATTGACCTGTAATGTGCGCTAGTGACATTTCTAAGCCCGGATCTTCAAAGTCTGATACGATTTTAGGCGTAGTGGCTGGCAATACTGATACAGAATACGCGTCATCAAGAACTGACGGTGCAGCCAAATTTGCTGTTTGTATTGTATTCATGAGAGAGGTAAGCTCCGTAGTTGGAACTGCAGCTGCTACTGTACTTACTACTGGTTTTGTAGTAGTTGTTAAGACCAATGTTAATGTATTCTCTGTAGTTGGCTTTCGTCTTCGATTGGGTGTGGGTCTGCGGGTAGGGCGTCTATTTCCGGTTGGTCGACGTCTTTTAGTTGTAGTGGAACGTATTGGACGTGTTGTAGTTGGACGGGTTGTAGTTGGACGTGTTGTAGTTGGACGTGTTGTAGTTGAACTTGTTGTAGTACTCTTAGTACTAGGTTTTCTTGCAGGTCGTCGCGTCCGTTTTGGTTTCTTAGTTGTCGTCGTTGATGATGTCGGTGCCTGTTTCTTAATGTTCTTTTTTTTAATGGTTTTCTTAGAAGATGTTGAACCAAACAGATCTCCTAATATGTCTTCTCCCAGAAGACTAAAACCTGTATAATCCGTACTGCCAATATCATTCACAGCATCAATTGTCCCTAAAATATTACATATAAAATATTAAAATAAGAAAATCATGGGTCAAAACTTAGAATCATCGATTAGATAGTTCGACATTCTTATAAAATCTTAAAATATATTTATTATATTATACAAGCTGAGTTAGAAAAAAATATTAGAATACTAACTATGACTCACCGTCGTCATCATCATCATCGTCGTCGTCATCGTCGTCACCATCATCATCATCAACTCCAGCAGCTAGGCCAAAAGCATCATAATCATCATCGTCGTCGTCGTCATCATCGTCATTCCTTTCATCTCTTGGAACTAATGGTAATGGATCAGCAGGCTCGGAAGTTACACCACGGGGGCCAAACTTAAAACAGGACACTCTGACAGCAGCTTCCACCGTCTTCTTTGATTGGAGTTCTAAACCAAGACATGCTCTGAACTCCTCACCAGCTCTTGCTATATTATAAACTCTTCCACAGAATTTGGATAGTCCACCTGGTAACGGCATGCAGACTGGACTAGGTTTGCGGCCTGTATAATTCACAAATCAAAACTTTAAAACTCTACCTAAACGTAAATTTTAATTGACAATAAAAGTAGAACATACTTGAAAGAGTCCGATTTGTGATAACCTTTTTTCCAAAGCTTAACGATACAGACATTTTGTCTCCATTAAGATACATCAGCGAGGCACATCCTGGAAACATAGTTTTACATATTAAATGAAAGAAAAGGAAGTGATCTCATTAATTGCTTATTATTGCCTTATGTCCTTTTTTCCTATTAAAGAGTAAACCACTTGTTGCTGTTACCGAAGGGATAGTGTTAGTTCTTACAAAATTCAAGAACCTTTTTATTTAATCGAAAATCGAAATATCATTATATATATCTTTATTCTATATATTTATGTACAGGATGACGTCTATCGGGTCCGCTAGTTGTATTTATATTATTTCAAATTATTACTGAAACTAATTGCAGTTTCCTTAAAATGTGAATCTGTCATACGAAACTTTTACGCTTAAAACGAATTTTATTAGTGATAAAAGACTAGAGACTGATAAAGACTATTATAGCGATATTCCTTTCTGTTATGAAGTGTTAAGCAGCGGTGGGCTAGATTAGAGGAAAAAAAACTGTTGATATGTATGTTGTTCCAAAATAAGAAGATTTTTAAGCGGATGTCATTACCAAAGTGGTTGAGTTAGAAAAATCGATTTCCTTGTTGCGCGACCTACTCTCACTCATCTCCAAAAATATTTAAAAATTCTTTTGCGTACTATGTATTGATCAGTACGAGAACTTTTATTGAGCAATGCAGAATTAGCATTTAACTAATTTTCGTTAGACTAAGTTTTTCATTATTTCGGATTTTTTAAAGAGGTAGCGTAAAACAGAAAACGAAAAGCCCGCCGACCGATTTCTCCACCTTGAGTATTAGGGTAGTGCTCTTCGTATTTCCTGGCGAGTATGACTCAAAATAAAAGAGAGAAGAGAATACGGTACGTAATACACAATTTGATACTCGTAACTTTAATATTTTTAACCGACTTCAAAAAGGAGAAGGTTATCAATTTAGATGTTTATGTTTTTTTTTAATGTATGTTCGGGCATAATTCCGTCTTATTTAAACGGATTTTCAAAATTCTTTTTTTGTTCGACAGAGGGTTATTTCGAAATGGACCCATTTAATTTTCATATAGATCTGATGATGAGTTTCGGAGACAGACAACGGAACTCTTTAAAAAAATGATGGCAAATCAACACGATTGCTACTGGGTTTTAAATGCTGTTTATTAGCATAGCATTACCGCCGTCCAGGGACACCCGCGATTCAAAAGAGATCAGTGCTATGCCGTCCTTTAATTGTCTGTCCAGAATTGGAGAAGGGAATTAAAAAAGCAATGAATGAATGGCTTAGCAGCGGTTTTCTGTGGTATTTACTCCGCTTGGGCTGACTCATACGACCCGGACTATACCACGATAATACGCGTCAACTTAGACGTGAATTCTGTTTTAACACTTAACATGTGAATACCATGCAATAAACTAAAATTCACATCTATTATGTGAAAGTATACTAAGGGTTGATGTTGTTATTCTACACATATGAGTAACTACATATCCACTAGTGATGGAATTTTGAACGTAATTATTTTGTTTGTATGAATAACCGCTATAACTTCTCTCATTTGTATAAACATTCCGTACCATTTCCGGTTAGCCTTTTTACTGCATCCTGCAGCTTTCTATAATCTTTTATGAATCTATTTAATTTATTTAACTTCATATTATAAAAATTTAGCTGTCTGCACTGCTTATTCACATAAATTTTAAGATTTTCAAATATGAGATTCCTCTCTGGGTAATATTTACTTAATAGGCGTAGATTTCTATTCATCTATTATTATTATACAGGAGATATTAAATTACCTGGTCCGTTTAGTTCGACAACAGGCAGTCGAAAGTCTTTGCAGCAGTTGCAGAAGGCTTCTACGCACTTGCAGTACTTGTTGATGTTGTTCTCTTCGATTTTATCTCCTGCACTGTTATCGTTACGGTTTTCAATTTGTTTCTTGACATGGTGTTTCTGATGTTCTAAAATTAAAGGCTAATATAAAATCGGATTTATATCTAACTAAATATCTTGATCTCAATCAAAGAGTAGTACAGATGAAGGCATTGTTGAAAAAATGAAAATGTAATAAATATATGGTATATTTTATTAGGAATTTATAGTGAGTATGATAAAAATAGAGCTAGATAATTTCAATTTGCCTACTAACTTGTTGTGGTGTTGAACCCCAACCAGTAGGTAACTATACTTTTTAACCTCTTCCATAAACCTAACTGTATAGCTGAAGAGGTTAAAAAGTATATAGTATAGTGGTATAGGTGGTAGTAATTTATGACTCATGACTTTGCACATAACTTATGATTTAACTACTAGTTAAAAAAAAACAGAAAAATTTGGCTAGTAAAACTATATAGCTTAAATTATGAACACACGACTAAAGGAAAAGAAGGAATATTCATTGCTTATATTAGGAATAGTAAAAAATATTGTTGCGTATCACGCTACATGTCACCACTAAAGTTATTCAATGCAAAAAACTAGACTGCGATCAACGATTTGTCAACTTTCACAGTTTTTTAAGCTATCGACGAGCCATAAGTAATTCAATATGTTTATATGCCAGTCACGGTAAGAGTAAAAAATATATGAAATCTGTACTCACTAATACTTTTTGAAGCAGCAAATGCTAAGAGAATGAATATTAGAAGCAACTCAAATACCAGGGAGAGCTTCATTCTGAAGGCTGGCTCCCTGCCTGCAAATACATAAATATTATTAGTTTTACACATATAAGTGTGTTACGATTAAACTAAAATATGAGTTTTTGTTAGTAGTTTTATGGGCCTTATGGGAGCTCTTCATAATGGGATGAAGCGACCTACCACCTCAGTACTACTTGCCAACGATGTGGTAGATTACTTCAACGAAACTAATGGCATACGCAAAATACACAAGTGATAAAAGTTGGTTAAGTTTGAGATAATTATTTTAAATGCACAAATGGTTACAAGGCTTGAAAACTGTGTTTTTTTGTTCGCTGATTTAACACGATTTGCTGTTTCATGCGCGTTGAAGTCTTTTGTACTGCGCATTGAAACCCCACGTTATAGGCTTGTACATATATATTTACATGCATTAACGGGTATATACTGTATATACCTATATATTGTATTATAAACAAATTCAAATTAGAAATTAACATATATTCAGAATTATCGAATTGATTTCACATTTTTTTAAATGTAGCAATATGAAATAATAATAAAAATTAATTACATAATGTAAAATTACCTTTTTATATAAAACTTCAATGCTTCAGAATATATAAACAAACACTTCAATTGTTTTCTTTTTCAAATAAACACCTTGCCCGCGCTTTTTTAAATACAATTAATTGAGGTTCACACTGAACAAATTTAAAAACGCAGACCACACCGTAGTAACAGCTATACTGATTTGTTGTACACTCATAAGCATTGAGTCGCACTGGGAGAAATGTGCAGTGACGTATAACAGTGGGTGAGAAAGGAAAACTGCCTGTCGGACTTCTCTTTCACACACTGACAAACAACTAAGGATAGGTGAAAGCACAGAGACGCAGTTGGTCGGCTATGTAGAATTCAGTGTCAAGTTGACTCTATATTAAAAATCTTGTACAATTTTGTCTTAAGGAAATGATTGGCAGTTAATGCCACCTTTTTAGGGTGCGAAATGACTGTGAACTGACGACTGCGAAATGGTGAAACGGCGGAAAGGAGTCATTTGCGTCTCACGATCGCGGTTTGAGTTCGATTCCCGACCACTTACTTCTGTCATTTATAAGTTAATGTGTGTTTTAAATATTAATTATCATTAAATTTAACGGTGAAGAAAAATACCGTAATTAAACCTGTATATCTAAAAGTTGTCCACGATGTTTTAAGAGATTTGTAAACTGTATTAAACCTGAGCAAGCCAATGATTCAAATCAATGGCACAGTTTATAAATGTAGATCGACTGTGAATTAATTATAAATGGATTTTATTAGTTTTACATGATTATATTGAGCTATTTCATGTTGCACAATTTATAAAATACGATCTTTGATAAAAATCTTAGGTATCTTTATTGCCAGGATAGGTAAAGTTATGTTTAAACATGAACTCGATGTTGTAGATTCGGCAACAAATAATCCTGTATAAATACATTTTTTCTAGATATACAGAAAACTTTGCTATGAAGAAAAGACACGAAGTTCAAGACAGAGCTAGAGGGTGAGATAATACATTACAATCCATTATAATAATCTAATATTTTAAATATTTCAGAGACACATATTTATAATCAACAAGAGTTAGAATCTTTATAGAGCTAACCTAACCAATAGCCTTATTTATTTCTCTAACTTAAATATATACATGTTTATCATAACTTGTTTTTTAAGTATTACTATATTACATAAACAATAACAACAAAAAAACAGAATGCATTTAACAGACACTTGAAAATTATTTCTATGAAACGCATTCCTTTTCTTGGTAACTTCTCGAAACATATAGTATGATGCGGAAACAACGTATCGGTACACAACATGATTTTTCATATTCGTTAAAAAAAGAGTTAGTTTTAGAAACTTTTAATATTCCTACTATTTAGACTTCATAAATGGAGGTATAAAGATTTATTGATTTTTGTTTTTTTTTTTTTGAGTTAAGTTATACAAAAGGCAGAAAGTATTTTATTAAAACAAAAAGAAGAAAAAATAAGAGTTAAGAAAATTTTAAGTAGTGTATCGTGTAAAATAGCTTAGGGATTCATTTTATGCCCCAATATAGCTAACACTATGACTCACTGGTACGTTCTAATTTACAGCGGTGGGCCTGTAGAATCCAAAATGCTGACTTATCATCTCGGACTTGCTTTTGGCTTAAATAACATAATGATTAACCTCGTCAGTAACCATTTCATACAATAGATTTAAAACACCATTGGTCACGCCTAAATCTAATAGTTTACACTATTGTAGTCTAGCAATATTAGTAAAAAAAGTATCAAAGTGTTTTTCTATAGTGTAACTTGTTTAAAGTGTTTTTCTATAGTGTTTGCTCAAGTAATTGTTATGTCAACAATGAATTATAAAATTGTTACATAGCACACGTATATTTTAATAAAGGGCCCGGATAAAAATAGCATGCATGATTTAATGGCTATGACCAAAGGTCTTTATTATTTATTTATCGATTAAAATGTTGTTCGCATTCAAATTAAATCGCACGAACAAAAATATAAATATGTATAATACATTCCAAGTGGTCAATTTACGTCGGTCCTTCTACAACCTTGCCGGGTCATTCACCAACATCTTGTTCATAAGTGGTCACTTTCCCGAGGTGAAAGTGGTCGGCATCGAATTCTGGTCACTCTTGTTGTATTATAACAACATAATATCCATACCGGTATGCTAACACTTCAATTGGCGGTCGTTAGTGGCTCTTCACCGATGACGTTATACTATTTTTGTTAGATGTATTATGTATTGTTACAATATCTATTAGTACGGTTATTATTGTTGTATATATTTTTACACGTCTTTTTCTAAATTGAATTTTATTTCAATGTGCAACGTTTTATATTATTATTCTATTCTATTCTATTCTTTAGCATATTTTACACCCTTTTATGCACTATTTATTGTTAGATATATAAAAGTAGTCGGTAACGGTATACCGGCTTTTTATATATCTAACAAATTGGCAAAATTTGTTGATATAAGACCATATTAAGAGGCCAAAAAACTAATTTAAGAGGAATTAAAGTAAACTAGGTTTACAAGTCTGATCATGTTTTATTTTATTTAGTTTTAAGATTTGTTTCATAATTTAACGTTCATTTCTAAATTTCTAACTGTTTATTACGAATAAACTACCCCTTAGATACTGCAAGGTTACTGGAATTAATGACAATTCTTTAAGTTATAAAAAATATGTTAATGGTGGTATCAGTTATAAAGAAAATATTTTTGTATAATGGGTTATAGATTTTCTACAAACCCAAGATTATCTAATGATTGAAGTTGAAAATATCACTGAATATTATGTTTCTTAAAATAATTTCATCCTAAAAAATTAGATTAAGAGTTTTCTAGATAATCCGGTCAGAATTGTAACTAGTTTAAAATTTTGTGACGTTAAAATTGGAAAAACAGGTACTGTGGCATAGTTAAAGAGAGATTACGTCTGGCAGTGAACTACTATTAGATTAATTAATTAGAGAGCTAAAAGTAATCCGTTCGCATTTATATTTTTACTTCCTTAATTTACTTTGAATATTTGTGTAACTAATGTGTTTTGAATCGTTAGTAAAGTCAACTGTCCGATTAAACGATATTTATCTTGCGTGTGCATATAAAAAAAATAGTGGAACAAACAGTTAAAACCACAATAGGATGTAATAAAATCCTAGTAGTCGATTAGTTGTTTATTCATATCGGCGCAAAAATTACCATTCGAAAACAATTTTTCGGTACGTATTTGTAAGTACAGTAATTGAGTTTTTATGAAACGCGCATGTTTGATAAAAAATGTGTTAAAATCACTGCATTGTACAATCCGGAATAGCCGAATGCCGTACATATTATGAGCCATGTAATGCATTCAGCATTAAGTGATTTAAATAGCAATTAAGTAGTAGTTAGCTTCAGTTTGTTTTAATATTCCTTGCGTATGTATTTTTTATTTAATTACTAAGGGATATAAAATTTTTTAAGTAAAATAATAATGTGGGTACAACTAAAAATGTACAAAAAACTAGTCGCATGTTATTATGGTTTGTAAAATCTAACATTTTACCTACCATCGGATAGCTAACTTTAGGTCTAAGCGCGGTGTGTGTTAATATTATGTTACCACAGCTTCACAAAATCATATTCACAGCTTTTTCGTTTTATTTTTATTTTTTATATTTTGTATGCTTTGATGGAAGGATTTAATGTGCATGTTCGAAATATAAATGTTTGTTCTTTGTGTATAGTAACAATTCTGTATTCCGAACTTGTGTATGAATCTGAGGCAATCCCGTGAACTAATCCGTGTTGACTACAACACGGATTAGTTCACGGAATTGCCTCAGATTACACTAAAGTTGTATTAATATATTCGGCCTGTTCAGTGGATAATATGTATCACGTTTTTATTATTATGTACGACTGTGTTATGATTGGGTTTTGCATGTTACAATACATGCTATGTCACATCACACACATAAACAACCTTTAATAGTCCACTTCTGGACAGGAGCCTCTCCTTAGAAAGGAGGTTTTGGCTTACTAGGCCACGCTGCCACGTTGGTATAGGGTTTGTTTCAAGTTTTCTTTCTCTTTGCAATGCTGTTGTTCCGCGTAGTTTGTTTCCTTAGTCGGCTCTTACGACACCCATGGGATGAATAGGGGTGGTGACACTCTGTGTTCTTGATCCGCCACACGCTATGCCATGTATGCTATGTCATTTATTCCTTATCAATCAATTATTTTATCTTATCTTTAAAAAATGGATCTGTTTACCCTATCTATAACAAGACTCTATTGGGTAACTACTGCACCTACTGACAGCTGCACGAAAGCGGAAATTCCACAGATAAGAGTCTTTGATTTGAACAGATTCTATAAGAGCCCAATTATTAAAAATCTAATAGTAATTGTTCAGGTAGCATAGTGCCATTCCATGGACACTCGATCCTTTTTATCAAACAATAAAATTTTGCGTTCCATAAGATAGTTGCTATAAATTGTTTGAGAATTAATATATATACTTAGCAAATATTGGATTTTCTGTGCTTTGCCTCGCTTTATACTAGAAAGTTTGAATATATTTTCCGTCAACAAATTCAGTCATTATTTCTTAATTATTATTATTTTTTATGTTAGAGGGGCAGACGAGCATACGGGTCACCTGATGGAAAGTGACTATCGCCGTCCATGAACGTCTGCAACTCAGGAGTCACAAACGCGTTGCCGGCCTTTTAGGAAGGAGTACGCTCTTTTCTTAAAGGTTTGAAGGTCGTATCGGTCCGGAAATACCGCAGATGATAACCCGTTCCACAGATTGGTTGTGCGGGGCAAAAAGTGCCAACTATCCAGGTAATAAGGATGAAAATTTTGACGTGTGGAACGATGGCGGAAATTTGCGGCTGGTATTAGTCCGAACAATTCCTCGGAGCACTCTCCATGATATATGCGATAGAGATATGCAAAGTGAAGCCACATCTCGATCGAGCATATAGGAGATGTTTGGGCTATCAACGATTCGAGTCGCTCTTCGTTGGATGCGTTTTAATTTTAACTTAATTGACCTTGTGCGTTGTGCGGAAGTGATACTGATTATTTAGCTGACTTTCTGGAAGAAACATAATTAATTAGCATTAAAATTCATAGACTTAAATAATCAGACAGAACGACATAACATTTTTTTTTGAGATCCAGTCGCAACGGACCTTATTATGAAAACCCCATATAACGTAAATATTATTACTTAATTTTATTTTTAATTGTATTCTCATTGATAAATAATTTAAAATGGCTATTCTGGACTAGTTACTGGAAGAGTGGAGATCGATGAAAAGAAAACGTGTTATTTTAAGAAAACGATTCCTTCATTCACCTAGTTTGAGCACATTAAAACTATTAGTAGTTCTAGCACGTAAGTTGATCTACAAGTATTATAGGTTCAATGAACTTTGTGTAGGTCAGTGGCACAGTGTGCACTTGACTGCTTACTACTCAGACAAACGTGCAGACAAACGGGATTGATCAGCTTTCTATAAACACAATTTTTGTTTGGATGTGACGACAGACTAATAACTAATATACAATAATTAGTTTGAATAAAATGTATGAAAATATGAAAAGAAAATAGTTTCTAATTATTGTAGAGAATTTAAATTTGATGTTTTTTTTTTTAAATGATCAATAGTATATAAAAGTAACAATAATGTTTATTTTAAACTTTGATTTAGTGTAAGTGTTAATATAATAGTAATAAAAGATTGTGTTTATGCACAGAAAACTGACAATCAACTAAAATCAATACAGTCAGTGAACGCTTGAAAAGGTGGATTTAGGTTATTTTTGTGAAGTCTAAGGTGATTCTATTATGTGTATTTCTATCGACTCCAACCTTTGATAAAAAACACTCTAGGCAGTTGAGTATTTTCATTTTGCCTCACAAGTCTTCTATAAGACGCCAGCTTTTTAACTGGATCAGTGGTGAAATCTAAAAAAAAATGGTGCTATTTTCTATTCTTGATATGGTTGCACTGATTTTGAGTATTTTAAAGGATGAGTATAGACTTACTCTTATACCTTTTTAGGATATAAGTGTGCATTTAGCAGCCTTTTTTATTTTTGTACTCATACTGAAGAGGTGAATAATTTGTTGTTAATAGTCACCAAAATAACGTTTTTTTTCATTAAGCTGATTGCTCGAAATCTTTACCTTTGTAACTTTGTATTACAAAAGTAGCAGTAATCGGGATTTCGGGAGCGGACGAACCAACATAATGGATCCATCTGAATCGTATAATTAAATTTGTTGTACCGAAAGTAAAACGAAATTTTTCAACCCGATAGTTGTCATAACCAAAATTGATTTTTACACTCCCTGTTACATTAAAAAGAATATTGTGGTGGTCTGACTGAAGTACAAAAAAATTGTTGCTTTACTAAATATTAATCTAATCTGACAAGAACGTGGTAGTAAAAGATTTGTTATTTTTAATAATCCGAATTTATTTATTTCAAATTCTCAAAACATTACGAAATGCACGCACATAAAAACATTAATTATAGCAGATAGACTTAATTTCTTCTATGCTAATTTACATACATGTAATCATTTAAGTACTTAATTAAGTTATTATTCTCTACAAGAATACCTAATAAATTTTAGTAGTTTTGGCCATTAAATTTCTGTGTATATATTTTTAATAGCAGTACCTAATTACCGATAGAAAATACAAGATATAGTGATTAATTTTATTATACGCTGGTAGATATATTACAATATCATATCCGTCTAGAAAGAGACAAGGTAAACAAATCGAAAGAGAAAAAACATTACTTATTACGAAAAGTTTTTCTCTAATATCAAAAACAAACATTAGTTAGCCTCAATTACAGGTGCGTTAGCGGTCCGCTTTCTCGTTGCATCTCGCCGATGCATGTCTTTATACTCGTATTACTGTGTTATGCTTTATTTAAATTTCACCTTCTATTGTAAGCGAAGTGAAACGGCAAGAGCGAGATCTGAGGAAAGGAGCAGTGTACGCCCGGCGGTTGCGACGATCACCTCCTCCAAGCTTATACCTCGTGCGAGCCTAGCTCCTTACGAAAACTTTAAAATTATTCATTTTTTTTGTACGTGTTGTCTGCATCTGTAACAGTGACAGCTGATCGACATGTTCGTCAAACTCACGCTTTCTTTGTTCCTCGCGGTAGTCGCTATAGCCCACGGTGGAAGCATTTTAGGTGAGTACTTTAAGTTTGTGTCGTTGATTAGAAAGTAGTTGCATATTAGGATAACAATTGCGTTGAAGTGATTAATTTAAGCATGACTGACAGTTGCGTGCGACGTCAGGGAGCTATTAGAACTGCGTCTTATGAATAAACAGACGCAACATGAATGAACATTAGATTATTTATTTTGTTTTGATACAAAGTATCATGAATAGGAATATTTATATAATTACGACGTAGACGATCAAAAAATGGACTGAAATGGAAGGTTTGTAGTTAATTCTTAGTGGTTCCTTTAAAAAAGTACGTTTTCGTTAATAAAATATGATAAATTTAAAATATGCTGATGTAATCAATTTTGGCCTTTTTTCTAATAATAAGTAAACGGAAATCATACGCAAAGTTGTAGATACTAGCCTAGCTCTAGAGCTTATATTGTGAATTACATAATTGAAGTGACAGAGATATTTCCTTTTTTAAGGACTAGTGAATGATAAAGAAGTTAAAATGTACCAAAGTGCTTGTAGATCCCAACACTTTATGCAATTCATTTTTTACTCAATTCATTGTTCATTAGAATTTCTTTGTCGCACCAGATTTTGCCCAATCATGTAAAATGTGCATTGTTAAAATCTTTACTTACAACTTGATATTTTTTGGGATTAGGAATCCCAAAAAATATCAAGTTGTAAGTAAAGATTTAGACATCAAATAATTCAATCCTACCTTTGCATCGAGCGTTTGCATTTGAATAAAAAATATTTTATTACAAAACTCATTTATATCCACATTCCTACAAAGTGCTCTGCATTAATATAAAATTTCTTCTTACAGAAAAAAGTTGATTTCTAAATTTATTGAGCTGTTCCAGTTTTTAAATATCGGTAAATTATTTAGACGTAAAACTACCAGACTGTATAAAATATCTACATAACTAAGTAGTGCGTGTATTTGTGGATAATTATCCACACTACGTGGGTACTCCCGGATCCTGGTAACTACAGAATAGTATCGAATGTTTACGGTTTTTTCTATCAAATATTATAAACATGAATGTAAAGTTGTTCATTTGCTATTTATTTATTTATTGTTCAAATACAATGTTTCTGTATTTGTCACGTTTTTGCAAATATGCATATTTTACTATTCTAAAACACTAATAGACCTTATGAAGATGCAAATGTGCAAATGATATATTTTTAACTAGCACTGATATGTTTTTTAAATGATATATTTCGTCCGCGTGGTGGTCGAAATCAGACATCGTAGAGGATACATGAATCAAGGTTTTAGGTATATTTGCCATACAAACTTGCACAACTTTTCAATGGTAGTTTTAAACAATTAGTGACACCGTTTTTTAATTCTTTTATTGCAGAGTATTTACTGTGAGTTAGAAAATGCTACTACCAAAAATGACGAAGTTTCATATAAATTTCCAAACCCTATTTTACACCCTTAGGGGTGGAATTTTTAAAAATCATTTCTTACTACGCACACCTACGTCACCTAAGGAACATTGGTACAAAATTTCATGCTTCTATACCCAGCGGTTTCAGCTGTGCGTTGATCGATCAATCAGTGAATTAGTCTGTCAGTTTCTTTTTTTATAGATATATATTGGATTTAGCTGCTACTTATTCTTTTAAACAAGTAATCAATTAATTAAAGTCATTTCGACAAAGAATTTTGTATTTTACACGAAGTTTTGAAAGTACGTACATTTTACAAATTGGGCGATGGTTACACTAGAGACTAACAGAGCTAAATGATTAGCCGTAATATTTTCAGTACTCATTTCATTAAATATACTATTACCAAATCGAAAAATACATTCACAATCTCTTAATTTCTTATGAGACCTATTTAACGATACCCATGTATGGGCTAGTGATGGAAAAAAGTATCCGTATTTTACGTGTAGGCAAGTGATTTCCTAGACTTTGGTTGACCGCTTTGTCGCCTTGATTAATACGACCCACCGGCCGTTTGGCGGGTTTTGGGTTCCATTTCCGCTTAAGTCAAACATTTGTGTGCATGAAAATTTAATGTTTGATTTAGTCTGGGTGTTTCTTTGTATAATATGTATATTTTTACAAAAAAAAAAGAATATATGTATTTATATCAGTTATCTAGTACCCATAGTAATGTGGTAGAATTATATAGTAGTATTATTATATAACCCATGCAAAATTACAGCCTTTTTCTTAGTACTGACCCATTCTTAGAAAAAACCGCCGACCGACGGACGGACATACAAACGAATATGGTACAAGACTACAGAACCCTAAAAAACTAGTTTTACGTAAGTATAACTTCGTATAAGTACCCATTGTTTATTTATATTACCGCATCGGTAACTCAGGACAATAAGGCTTCAGTGAAAGTTAAAAGTGATGTGAAAGTAAATTTAATACTTGGATATGACTTCTTGTTATTACTGTTTTCTTTCAAGCAAGAGTCGTAATATAAATTGCATGTAAAAGTTTTTTGTATACCCCAATAAATCCTGTAATTATATAGGATACATGAAGTTTTGGGATCGTACTTAGTGGTTTTTATGTGCAACATTTAATGCGGGAAGTAGACGGGCTGTTAGCATGGCGACGCGTTGACACGCTGTTACTATCCTGTTAGTATATATTTCCATAATTATATTATAAATGTGAAAAATTAGTAACGACGCATTTTAATTCTTTTGTTTGTTTCTTTTTTTGTTACGATTTCACGAATAAACCGCAAAACCGATTCTCGAAATTCTTCCACCAATGGAAAGCTACATTATTAAAGATAAATAATAAATAAGGAAGTTTCAGAATTTTCAGGGAAGGTGTCCGAAATATATAGAGATTTTTGGGTATTTCCTTACACACCAAGGGATGATACTTGGGAAAACCCAAGACCCATGCAAAAGCTTCACTTTTGACGAAATACTGTATGGTTTTAGTCGATTCGGAGCCGATATACCATTTCATAGTGAGCCCTCGTAGTGGGGACCGACACGAAGCATATAAGAAAATCCTATTACGTACTTATGTATATATATTATTAAAAAAAATTTTTTTTTTCTTTTCGTATATCTTTTTGTATATTTAGAAATGTAATCAATATGTATGTATTTATAATAATAATATTTCGGACATCTGACACATAAAACCATCTAGTTTCAAACTAATCAGAACTTGTACTATGAAAGCTAGATTAACTGATAGAATACGTACATACTTTTTTTTTGTAAATAGCAAAGCATCCGAAGCAAATATTAGCAGAACATACAAACCTTTGGCCCGACTTGGGCATTACATCATATTTGAGAAATTTGTTTATTCGTATACGTTTAGAATACTAAACATAATTGCTATGTGCTACAAAACATTGATAATGCATTTGTAATTTGGTAGCATGTTTGTAGGATATGTTTAAGAACATCTTAAAATTAAGTTATGACTTCTATTTGGCCTACTTTCATTTGTAACTAGAGAGCGTAACAATATAATAAGCTATGTAAAATGACTTCGAGACAATGAAGTATTACAAAACAAAAGTTCACACACATGAAAAAAACACATAGAGAAGCTGTACTAATTTTGGTATTACGTATCGTAGTGTTGCCGAATAGTTGTTACCGTTCGTAGCTAAGGCCGTGTTCCGAGTTCAAATTGTTAATAACAAAACTAATTTTTACCAATTCAAAATCAAAATTAGATTATTATTTTTAATATTTCTGCAATGAACGTAAATTTCGTAGAAAATCTGGCGGCACGATAGCCATTTCTCGACCCTCATAAGTTGGGTTTGGATTATACCAAATACACGAAATTTTCGAAACATGATGTCAATAGTAAACTTGTCAAACACATAAATTTTAAATATTATAGCTCTTATACTTTAGATTTTATTGATATCTTAAAAAAATCCCGATTTTGTTACTGATTCACTGATGATTATAAAAATTCAGAGGGAACTTCCTAAAGTCCTAAAAAGCTGTAATTTGGTATATAAGCTAGTATTAATACACAAACAACAAAATAATTATGAGACTAGGAAGTATCTCTCCCTACCCCGCAAACTAGGGGAAGAAACTTTGTATGAGACTGCCGCAACGCAACACAAATAAAATGATATTTATTTCTGAAAGTAAATCTTTTCCGATATTTTTTACAAGTCGGACTTTACAGCTAGAAGGCGTCGGCATTTCTTAAGACTCACTCTGGGGAGAAACCAGATAGGTGTCCATGTACAATGTTAAAGGGAACTATGTGCCTGCAGAATCTAATCTGAGTTGGCCTTTTGAAGAAAGGATTATAGTTCTTAGTAGGTCTGTCTATGCAGTAAGGTCTGAGTTGACCTTTTGAAGAAAAAAGGGCCGTAGTTTTGAGTCGGCCAATCATCGTGTAGCCTAACCAATAGAATCATAATCGACAACCCTTTGAATTTCAGCAGCATTTTCCCCACAACAAAATACCGTATGACATTAGTGTAATGTTAGTAGTTAGTCTAACTGTTTCTACATCGGTTTATAGACGAATTTTATAAACCGCTTATGCTGCAGAGCTGAGTTCAATCCATCAATGTGTGCGCCATCTGCAATGTAGTTTAAAGTGTAGTTCAAATATACTTAAGGAAGTTCACACCAGCATCACTTGTCAAGCGACCTCTTCTGAAGCCAAATTGTTTCCTGTGTAGAATATTGTTTACACGAAAATGAGTTTGCAAATAAACCATTGTGATAACAGAAAAAGATCATTATAATTATTAATCAGATTCAGATAATGACTAAGTATCGCCTTGATGTATTAATTATAACAAAGAAGAAACTTACAAAAAAAGATAAAGAGTGGGTTATGAAAAAAGGCACCTCTGGTGTGCAAGAAATACAGCCCAAAAAAAAGAAAGAAAAAATTAAGAAAATATACGTGGGTCACAATTAAAGATTTTAGAATAGGCCAGTAAGAAAAGCAGCATCCACCACGACAAGGCTCCACCTTACTTCGTCACATGGACTGTCGAATATTTGTCTAACGAAGGTGTGGAGCTAGTGAGTCATACTCTTTACAATCTCGACCTTGCTTCTTGAGACTTTTATTAATTTCCAAAAAAAAATTGATAAACTTAGATTTAGATTCGATTTATGAACCCTGAGGAAGCCGTATCTGCGTTTGAAAGTCGTGGAAGAGATGCCTAAAAAAGGGTGCGCTTATTGCTTTATTGAATGGTTCTATACTTCGAAAAACAATTAAAATATTCTATATCATTTCGTTTTCCTTTTCTAAAAACTTTCAGTGTGACCCCCGTATGTTTTCAAGACGAGGCTATATGGCTCGCACCGTCGTAAAGTCATCACATCTCATGTAGAGCCAAACTTATAACTCCACACGCTTTAACTCTACAAGCCCTAACTTCACGATCTTCTCCTAGTCAAAATATGTGGCTTGGACGTTGCGACCGTGACGGTGGACTTAAGGTGAATATTCTTGTAGTTACGATTGCTAAGATGAACATCAATAAACCTATCACTACCGTCTACCGCTATTCGCTACCGTCACATGGGTGAAAATTTATTCACTGTTCATTACTTTACTGTTATACAATATTTCTTGTAGTGACGATTACCCAGATGAGCATCAATAAACCTACCGCTACTGTCTACTACTATTTATAAACCTCATAATAATATGGGCGTTAGGTAAAAAAATATTTCGCCACTTATATAGGCCTAAGGTGAAAAAATTATTCACTGTTCATTAGGATACTATTATACAATACATTTTTCAGTAACGAAACGGCCAAGCCACATATTTTCATTAAAGTCTAGACATTTTAAAGTTAGGGCTTAGAGTTAAGTTAGAAATTTGGCTCTACATGAGATCTGATAACTTTTTTACACTGCCAACCATATAGTCTCGTCTTGGGAACATATTACATGAAAATGTTTTTGGTGGGATCCTGTTTGCAGACAGTGGCAACTGGGCCCTTCCTAATTATACAAATACCTTAAAACATGCAAAGTGTATACAATACATTTTTCTTGTATACTTCTTAGATAAAGTAATGCAATAGTTATTTGTATATCATTATAAATTAGTACTACGGTGACGGAAACATGGCCAAGAATTATTTTTCTTATGAATTGTTTTAGATAAAGAGTATTTATTTTAAACAAAGAACACTAGTTGTCTAAAAATAATCATTACAGATTTCATTTTTTATTTATTTCTTTATTTCTTTTTGCACAAAACAATTAATTGTACAATGGCGTGAAATGTGAATGGGTTGTATTTAATTAGTCTTATTTAATTATTTCAGTTTGTTCAGTTGTTTCAATATTCGAAAAGGGTAAGATATAACATAATGAAAATAATTGAAGTAATTAGAAATAGTTAATGAAAAGGGTTTAATTTAAAATCGTCTTGCCTATCTGAAATCATTTGAGTAAACACATAAAAATATTCATATAAAAACCGAGTTTCTATTGTCTTTCTTTATTGGAATGTTGAAATGTTTTTATTAACCGTAGTTCAAACGTAAGTTTTACTCGTACACTTTAATAAACCATTTTATTTTTATTGCATGTTTTTATGTTAAAACTGCCGACATTTATGCGTGTTGTAATTAATAACCTGTTGTGTAGTGTAATAAATAATTCATTTGATTAATAATGCAACAATTTTACTAGCTCAAACACAAATCAATTTCGACTAATGTCATTGTCACACACAATAAATAAATATTTAAGACAATTGATATGTAACGCCATCTATTTTCAAACCAAGTAGAGCTTGTACTATGAAAATTTGATTGCCTGCTAGAATATTTATATATTTTTTTTTGCAAATACACAATATACAAACAACACATACAAACAAATAACACAATGACAGTTATGCAAAGCATAACTGCTGATAAAAGGGCCATAGAGGGTGGAAGTTCTATAGGTTACCTTTATTAATTTTCATTTCTTGAGGTTTACTCTTGTTCTCTATTAATAGGGAATATGCATGTATTTTTTTAATTTTTTTAACGATTCTACTAGTTATTACATTACCAAAAATAAATATAACACATCCGAAATATAAACCGTTAAGCAAAAATAAATTTGTTGAAATCACTATCATTTTGGGGCAATTTGAACACGTCCATTTTAGCGCGCTTTTTTTGTGACGTCTGATTACACTTTCAGACGAATTGGATGTCAACAACGGAGTGAAGTTCACAAAGTTTCTAAAAAAGTTCAAAAAGTGAGTGATAAAAATTGACTTATTACCATGGAAAGCCAATAAAAACTTATTATAAATATTGTGCCGTTCCTTTGTGCCCAAATAATATCAAAACTGCACCTGACAAAGTATATTCAGTCATTGTGTTGAGTCTTTCTACACGGTAATTTAATAATTTAACACTGAAAACGTATTAGTTATTAACTTAAAATGAAACAAATAATCACCAGAAACCAAATATTACAAATACACACAACTTGTTGACACTCTTGACAGTGTAGGTTGACGTCACGTTTTATTCAACCAATAGCGTTGCGTTTTAGAAATTTGCGAGGGAATCTTAAAAAAGCCAATTTTTGATGATTAAATTTCACTATTAAATCATAATAAATTTCAAAAATAATTGTATGGGTATCTTTTTTTAGCAATAAAAATTACAAATAAAAATATTTTGTCCATTTTGGTGTCACGTGCATATACCCTATTCTCTGCTCAATTACATTAGGAAAAAGGTTTAATTTTTCAATAATTTAATTATTACATTTTATAGAAGTACAACTAAGTTTAATATATTTTATATATTTTTTTTTAAACTTTTATCACTTATTTCAACATTTGTATAATTGTATTGTACCTCCTTCCTAAGGAGAGGCCTATGTCCAGTAGTGGACTATTAAACGCTGTTGATGATGATGATGATAATAATTTTAGTTCTTTGTAAATTTTAAAACATCAAAAAAGGAATCCAATTATAAGGATATTATGCAACATATGGAAGAAAACACAGATGAATTGAAAAGTATAGATTATTATTTTCATATTTTTTAAATTAAAACTCTACAATACTGTTGGTTTAAGTTAATTTATGAAAATTATACAGAAAACACATTATTTACAATTTAATGAAACACACCTCTAATTTTAAATTCTGTTTGTCTAGATATATTCAACTGGGAGGACAGTAAGAAGTTATTAGAAGTTACGCAGCCACAAGCAGCACCAGAAATTCGCAATGACATTAACTGCAAGTGGAAGTGCAAGGGTCCAGCTTGTGTCTGTTGCATCGACACTAACGTCACGAGCTATGATCCGGAAGGATCAAGTACGTACCTTTTAACACTATTGTTAGGATTAAACAGAAGATACCAAATAAGAAGTTATGCCAAAATTTATTTTTTAGTTGACAGGTTGATTTTACTTTAAGCTGAGTAAACACATTTTAAGAAAATAATCATTTGACTGCACGGAAGGCGTAGTTGTTTAAGCGGTCACTTGCGCGTTAGTGTTGTGGGTTCGATCCCCACATGAAACAACACTTTATGTGATCTACAAATGATTGTTCTCAGTCTGGGTATTGTTTGTACCCGTTCCATGTATGTTTGTGAAGTCCCCGTGACCTAGGATATATTCCTAGTAGTGTTTTACATAATTTACATATTGCCAATGTAAATTTACATATTGAAACGTAGGTACAACTACGTAGTTAATTTTAGCAGATCCACTCCCTGATATAATGTCCCAGGCATAAAAAAAAATGCGTGAGTGTCATCCGTATCGTTATAAGAACCCAAAAGCTAAATATCACAAACAGCCTCTATGTGCAATAGGGAAAATAAGTTTCTGTAAATCGTAATAAATTTAAATAAATCTATAGATTTCCAACGATATTCGTCGTATGTATGTACTTGTACATTTGAGTGTATGCGTTCAACATTTTAGAAAGGATTATTACAATTATTTTGTTTTTAAATTTCAGAGTGTATACACATGAGATACATGTCAAAAGAAGAAGGACTCTTCGTTCAAATTTCCCACGGGAAGAAAATTGAATATGAGAAAGTACAAAGTATGTATGGTTTTACGGTATACGAGTACATCTAGTACATTAACTGTTTTAGAGTTGTGTACCTTATACATATACAAGTTGATAAAATTCAGTTCATAAATAAACTAGTTGAAATTAATATAAATACATTAGAGACACTCAATATAACTAAGCACCTTTTAAATATAGTTTAAAACATAAGATTAAATAAGGGCACCTGAATTTCTAAAGAAAGTGGTTCTGCTAATATGGCGGTTGCAATAGCCTGTTATTTGCATTTAGAAGTTTCTCGAACAACGTGAAAGTCGGATGTAATCGGTATTAGATTTCGAGAATACGAGTTTTAAGACTTTCAAACTATTTAATCATAGCTTTGGCCAACGTGTATCGCTATTTATATTTACATTATCTTACTCATACGAGAGTTCATTGCTACAATTTGTCTTTTTGTCTCGATTGATATTATTTACTCATAAAAGAAGAGATTAGTGTTAAAACAAACTAATGGTTTCTTTTCTTTGTTTAACCGATAATTGTCGAATCGATATGGAGTAATTTTAGTCACCAACAAGGTGACTTACAGGCAGTTACAAGCAATTGAAGAAAAAAGGTAACAGTATGTTTACCCATAAACTCGTACCACACTATGTTAATTGTAAACTCAAAACAATTGAATCCGTGTGGTGACGGATTAAGAATACAGAGTGTCACCACCCCTGTTCATCCCGTGGGTGTCGTAAGAGCCGACTAAGGGAAAAAACTAAGCAGAACAACAGCACTGCAGAGAGAAGGACAACTTGACACAAACCCTATACCAACCCGTCTGGCCAGCGTGGTATAGTAGGCCAAAACCTCCTTTCTAAGGAGAGGCCTATGTCCAACAGTGGACTATTTAAGGCTGTTGATGTGATGATGATGATGATTGAATCCATGACTTACGTTTTAATATAGAAACGAAACGATAAAGCACTTAAAATCAATCAATAATCTAATTTAAAAATATGAGATCACTATGAGTCACTACTTATTTTCAACTCTTATCACTACAAGATAATTAAACACGTAATTAGACTTATAAATCATATTTCATTATTTTACTATGATAAAATTATTCTCTGGCAAGTCGACCAAAATAAACAGAGAAAAAAATGGCCTACTTACAACTAGAAATAAAAATAAGATTACGAGAATCTCCGAAGCGAAAAAAATATATATGATTATTAGAAACTGTGTGCCTACGTGCATAGAAAACATATATGTAAAGGTAAAAAAATAATAACAAAAAATTAAATAAGATATTTATTATTAATTTAATTAATTTCAGTGACCAGCCCGGGTCCGATATGCTTGGTAATGAGCATGTTATTCCAAATGTGCGCAATCTTCACTCGCATGGCTCCCACTGCTGACGGCCTCCGAGGATGCGTTCATCTTGAACCGGGCACCATATTCTTGTCCCAGAATAAAATTCCTCTAGGTTGCTTCAAAGCGAATGAAGCTGGAATGGAAATGTCGGACCCACCCAGTGATTTGTAAGTTTTAATGCATGAAATATATACCTAAGCTATTTATCGACTTATCTTTACACGGGTTCAGGACCAAAATTGAATCTAGAACATAACAAAACATACTAATTCACATTATTGATTTGGCAGTAATGTACCAAAAAAAGTATTTTATATAAATTATTTTCAATTAAACCAACTTTTTCATTAGTAGAACTTATTAACTCATGCAGCAATACCTATTGTCTTAATTGATCTTAACCATGCGTAGGTTATTTTGTTTGGGGTTCATTTTTGCTAAAAAAACCTACGGAAACATTACAGAGACGTCACACAATGCTTATTGAGGGCGAATTGTAAAATTGACAAAGACCAACTTTCAGCTTAAGAAAGTATTATAAAATTTTTGTAATAAAATCAATTAACAAATTTTACTGACATTTTAAATAATTAATTATAAAGATAATAAATAAAACTACATTATTTATCTTCAAACGCACGCGATCCGTGATAAACCTAATTACGTACACGTATGAGTAAACCTGCTGAACGAAGGGTCCCCCGAAAGAGCGCCAACTATCCTGGCTGACGCAGATTGTGACAACTATCAATGCAGGATATGCATCTATTACGTGGTCACCGTAATTCCCATACATCTACATATTATTTGGATAAAAAAAGAAATTATATTCATCAATAGTCTTTAATAATCCACTGCTGGTCCTGGGCCTCTCCTTGTCCAGCAGTCTATGTCCCATATTTTACTTTACACGGTGATGTATTCTACCCCTAAAATGACATTTACTAAGTGCTGAAAACTCCCACATAGATAAAACTATAGTAATCAAGATAAGAATAAACTGGAAGTATAATTTCAAACATATTATTTTTTACAGACTTGAAAGTGAACATGAAAATACTGAAGAAAATAATAATGAGGATGATGCCAGTGAAACCGACATCGATTTTGACCCTAACAAATTCTTTGCTGGAGTCTATCAGACTGCACAACAGAGCATCGCCTTACTAAGTAGCCTTTTAGAGGAAACAAGTAACTCCACAAAACCGGCCAGTCCAGCCGAAACCAGCAGTTTACCGACGCCTGAAGAGAAAATAACAGAGTCAACCCAGAAAAGAGCACCTAAAAACTTAAAACATCCCAATCAACTGTGATAGATTTTTAGATCAGCATATACAAACAAAATGCATTTTTTAGTAGATAGTAGATTAAACTTTATTGGTTTTTATGTGTCCTATGTATTGCTTTAAACTTTGTGGTGCAAGAGATTAGTCCTAATAAATAATTTAAAATCTGTAATCATTTTTTATTGATTTTTCTAATTGTTTTTAATTCGACACATGTAGACTTGGACAAGTGTACTAACTCTTTTTTTATCAAACGAAAGTTAAACATTGGCTTCGTTTGCAAACCACAATCTTAAACCTAGCTAAGTCATAATTGAAGAACAGAGTACGGAGTAGCGAACGTCGACACCCTCTTGAAAATAAAACAAAATAGCAACTTGACCAACACATTGTAATTAACGTAGTGATATTTTGTTTTATAAAAAAGGGCCCTGTTATAGTATAAAACTTTTTTATGTTACCCATGACGACGAACTATTACTTACGTAGAATACACATAAATAGTAGGTACACTGGCCAGACGAAAATCACTTTTGTAACTTCGAAATTTTCTGACCCTCGTTATCCTTTGATAAGATACTGAATGCTGAGTCCTTAAACTCTAAACAGGATGGCCGTCAACACTTTTTCTTTTAACGTCAAGCAGCATCTGGTCAAACAAGTGGCGGAATCAACTTGCTCGTTATTTTTAGTAACTATATTCGTATGTAAATATGTATTGATAAACATTCGTTCTGTATTTATGTATTGTAATGCATATACCTATGTGTAATATATTGTAGGGTGTAGTACATGATAGGTTTGTATATGTGTTTGTATGTGTGTATGGTTTGTATATATGTAATATGTGATTTTGTATTCAGTTTAAATTATTTTTAGTTTGTATAACTTAACTGTAATCAAAATGTCCGTACTTTCTGTTTTCTCTTCATCACCCAATGGCTGACTGCTAGAGAATGCCTTAGGCATTAAGTCCACCGCTGCACCTAATGTGCATGACGTGTAAATACTCAACAACACAGTTATTATAAAATGTTAAAATTGGCAGTCACCAAATTCCTCTCACTGTAATTAAAAATAAACATCAACACTGTATATGTTTAGTTTATATATAGAGGAACACAGGAGTTTAATATAATAGATTTAGTGTCAGCTAGTCTATCTAGAGTAATGAGTCAAGCAAGGCTTTATATATCTTTTGCAAGATATATAAAGCCTTGCTTGACTCATGCACGGTTGGCGCTATCGTAGCAATGAACCGAATCTGTTAAGATGATCAAGTATACTACCAAACTGTTAATCATCAAGTAGATTGATTGCTTTTAAATTTACTTAAAAACTGTGTTTACCACCAACTGGAAATTCAACTACAGTAAATAACTGTGCCGATTACATTGATAATTATCATGTTAGATTATCAGTACATTTCATTTCAATATCGAGGCACATAAATATGGGTATGAGAAAACAAAATAGATAGATATTTGAATTTTGTAAAAATGTGTAAACGGTTCACAAACTTATACTAATTCTATTTGTTTCACGGTTTAAAAAAAAATGATGACGCTCTTTTTGGAGTACAATATGTATTTTAATATATTCGGAATCTCCTATCTGAAGTCGATTAAGAGGGCGTATAAAGCAAAATTATAAATCTTATTTTTGATTTTACATAAAAAATTCCGGACCAAATCTTAAAATAAAAATGTATGAATAACTACATGATATTTCCGAGGGTTCACTTTGATCAAAAACATGAAATAATAACATTTCCTCGATAGAAAAAAATCACGAAGTAACCTCTAATTCTAATATTTTTCCGTTTTGTACTCGATATGGTAATGCCTATTGCGACAAAAATTTGATAATTAATTATACTTATACAAGAGTTAAGGCTTTGTTTAGGCATTTTATGTAATTCCTTTTAGTTTTGGATTTAGAAGAATATAACAGTTTTGGCGCATACTACGTTTTTATTCCGCGCAAGAAGTCATCGTCCGTCGCACGTTGCGGGAGCTTCAAGCATATTTCTATTTCAGACATCAGTCGCTACCGCTCCGTTGAGACGAGAGGACTGCGCTCAAGTGTTTAGGCGCGCCGAGTTATTATCAATTCAATTATTAGATTATTAGGATAGGAGGTAATAAATTAGATATATAATAGGTAGCTATTTACTTTTGCTTTTTGTTATATTATTCTTCACAATAAAAAAATCTGATCATTTTCCCCTAGTGTAATTATGATATCTTCCAAAAGTCTAGTATTCTATAAAAATATTAAAATAATAATAATTACATTCTCCATAATTCTATGATCACTCATAAGTAACGCGGGCAGTATAGTTTGGTATAGTATATGCAAAATAAACACAAGCTTTTAGTTGGTGTCTGTGTTTGTTCGATGAAATATATTTATGTCGATTTGGAAGCTATTTAAGTATGTCCATTAGGTATTTAAAACCTATTTTTAACCGACTTCCAAAAGAAGGAGGTTATCAATTCGACTATTATGTTTTTTTTTATTGTTCTTTTTTTATTTGAAAAATTATACTCCTGTGGTGGTCCCATTTAAATTTGGTGAAGATCTGATGCTGGTCTTCGGAGATATACAATGGAACTCTTCAATAATAGACGTTAAATCGGTCGTGATGGCTGCAATCGCTTGGATGTTTATATGCTTGTCAAATATTTTTATAGGATATTACAAATAAAAATGGAAAAATAAAAAAAACTTTTTTTGCAAAAAAAAAAACCGACCTCAAAATAAACACAAATCGAACACAAAAAGAAAAACACTAAAAAGTGAAAAATAACTTTAGCTTCAGAAGCCGGTGACAAAAATACCAAATCAATCAAACAAAGGTCAAGCTTCAGAAGCCGGTGACAAAAACACCACATCAATCAAACAAAGGTCAAGCTTCGAAGTCGGTGGTTGTGGGCTTCGGTTTCCGCATTTAGACTCAGAGTGGTCCTTTATGCGTCGAGGATTGGTTGACTAGGTGAGCCAGCCAAGCTCCAAGCCTCCTGGGGCGTTCACAGGCTTCTAGGAGCGACTTTATATCAGGAATGATACTTGCCCGTTGTGTGGCCACGCCCTCGCATTCCAGGACTACGTGGACGGCCGTTTCTTCAGCTTCCAGACATCCCCTGCACAGGGGACTGTCCGTCGCATTGATTATGAATAGTTGTCGGTTCAGGGCTAGATGTCCTGTAATAGTTCCGACAACCATTCTGATTTCCGGTCTGCTAAGACTGATCAGTCTGCAGGTGAGTCGTGGTGTGACTTGATTCAGCACCAGTTTGGACTGTCTGCAGCCGGGTGAGTTTTTCCACCTCCGGTTGTGTGCTTCACAGGTCCGTTGCCTGACCCAGCATCGTATTTGGTTAAACGATATGGGCAGGAGTGGGGTTGGGCCAGAGGTTGGGGTTGCCGAGCCCCTCCTTGCCAACTCCCGTGTGAGTTACTGTGCCCTTTAATCCATTGGAGGAGTACCCCATTGAATATAGCGAGCTGTTCCAGTGCTTGGTGGCATTCGAAGACAATACCAGAGGTCATTGTGTTGCCCTCCAATGCCTTTAAGACGGCCATGCTGTCGGATATTATTCGGATGTTGTAGTCCTTAGTATCTTCTTGTGAAGATATGGTGTTTTGGGATTCTATCGCATGGAGCTGCTATCAGTGGTTCGTATTCCACCAATTGATCCCATAATTTGGAGTGCGATCCCTCACTTTTGTGCCATAGACCCAGGTGTTTGAGTCTAATGATCGCCATGGCGGCCTCCTGCTGTATGAATAGATCCAGGGGTGGCAGACCAAGAGCCACCTCCAGTGCGGCAGTAGGCGTTGTGCGCATACAGCCAGTGACCGCGGAGCATGGGAGTCGCTGGAATTGCTGCAGTTTGTTTATGACAGTGCTTAGCTCTGTTCTCTGCCACCAGACAACAACACCGTAAGTGATTATTGTTCTTATGACTGTCCTGTATACCCATAAAGTAATTTTGGGTGATAGTCCCCAGCTTTTGCCGAGTAGCCGCTTGCATTGGCAGAAAATAATGCAGGCTTTATTCAGTTTTTCATCGAGGTGCTTATTCCACAGGAGTTTACTGTCCAGTATTACTCCTAGGTATTTGACCTCTTTGGTAAGAGTAAGTTGTGTTCCAAATAACTTGGAAAGTCTGAGATATCCTAGGCTGCGTTTGTTTGTGAACATGATCATCTCTGTTTTGGATGGGTTCACTGTCAGGTTGTGTGCTACGCACCATTGTTCCACGATCTTCAGTGCAAGTCTCATTTGATCGCATGTAATGCTCTCAAAAGGACCGCTGATGAGAATAGTAAGATCGTCTGCATAGCCTATTGTGAGGAATCTTTGGTCATTAAGTTGTGCGATGAGCTCATCCACAACAATGTTCCATAGAAGGGGGGAGAGTACACCGCCCTGGGGGCATTGTGGAATCAACACCATGCCTAGACAGAGCTTGGCTAATGCTGGTGAAGTTGGTCTTGTCAAAGGCTCCCTCGATATCGATAAAGGTGGCCAGTGTTGAACTTTTATGATTTAGATTGTCTTCTACATATGAAACAACTCGATGTAGGGCAGATTCTATTGATTTACCCATCGAGTATGCGTGTTGATTGAGGTGTAGAGGGTGACTGACTAACGCAGTTTCCCTGATTTCCCTATCTATTAGCCTCTCGAGAACCTTTAGTAGGAAAGATGTGAGACTAATAGGTCGGTGTGATTTGGGTTGTGTGTTGTGTGTTGGGTTCATCCCCAAACCTTTACCAGGTTTGGGGATGAAGACTACTTTAACTTGTCTCCATTTCAAGGGGATGTACTGATGCGCCAGGCATCCCCTTGCCCATCTTAGTTTGTCATGGTTGACAACTTTGCGGGCCGTATCCCAGTCTGTATCATCTGGTGGTTTTTCCCATCTGTCTTCCCATTTTTCCATCACACTTCCAGGGAAGTGTGTTTTTAATAACAGCTCTGAGGCGTCCGAGTCTGTTTTGGTATACTCACCATC